ACTGCACACAGGATCACCCAAAAACCAGACCATAAAGCTGAGAGCATTGTCCTCACACTTCTTGAACTCTTGCAGCTTGGGGCTGCAACCACTGCCCTGGGGAGCCTGTTGGCTTGTTTCATTTACAAGGATTACTGAGGACAGGAGTGTAAACCATATGCCCCATTAAATGGATCCTGAGTAAATCAGTTCAGAAATCAAATGTTTATGACAATCAGCTTAAGTGACTTGCAGTCTCTAGAGGTTTGCAGGTTTATTCTGCTTATCATCTCCACCATCTCCTAACCAACTGTAATCTCCAGCTCTTACAAGGCTCTTTCAGGCTGTGCCTTGCCTTATGACGTGTCCTTCATTTTCTGGATCAATCAGAAAGCTTCAGAAAGACTATACTAACAGCATCTTCCTTGTCTTCACCTTTCTGTTCTTTGTGGTTTCTCTCCCTCCTTGACACTCAGCTCTTTGCTGCTGCCAAGCAGCCTGTGATGCCCACCTCCACCTCCCACATTAGCAATAGGCACTATATTACATTTATCTCCCTACACTGAGTCTGTTCTGCCTGTGATAGTAACTGGCAAATGATCTTCCTGTCCTTATCTCAACCCATCAGCTTCTTTCATTGTATTTTCTCCCTGTTCTGTTGAGAAGTGAGAGTGAAAAAGAGCTGCAGGAGAGGCCAGTGCTGATCAGAGTAGCATTTGCTGCTTTCTGTGCTGGTTGGCGTGAAGGGAGATGCCTTCTGCAGAGCATGGGAATGGGGAGGAAGCTGGGGAGGATGGAGATGTCTAAAACCAGCTAAGACTGGGAATGGCACAGGAAAATGCAGAATTGCAGAATCATAGGGGTTGGAAGGGACTCTAGGAATCAACTCATCCATCTCCCTGCTAAAGCAGGTTCCCTACAATAGGTTGCACAAGTGGGTTTTTGAGTATCTCCAGAGAAGGAGACCCTACAACCTCTATGGGCAGCTTGTTCCCGTGCTCCAGGAAACAGCCCCAGGAAACAGAAGCTCTCTACAGCACAAAGCCACTCTTCTAATCCCTTTCTTCTTCTTATGGTCTATTCCTTCTTTAGGTATTTTCTTGTCACTAACTGATTTGGACTGCAGCTCATTTTGCAGCTGTTAGTGAGAAAAAAACAGCTCCTCTCAGGAGCTGGTAACAGCCAGACTCCATTTCCTTTTCATTTCCTTCTTTTCAGACCTTTCTTGCTTCATAAAGTACATGTGTGTGAGAGAAGACATCTGTCTCCATGTGCAAATGTAGCAGGGGCTCTAGGAATATTACATTTGTTTCTAAATAGGAAAGCAAAATGGAAATCTTGCCTTCCACATCACTGAAACATGGGATCAAACTGTCTAAGGAATAACATAATAAGAAAAATAGGTAATCTGTTATGGGATGGGGAAAAGTCCAAGCCAGACCCTGTGACAGCACACATCAGACATGCCCAGTCTCCAACGTGCTGCTGCAGAGAACTGCCATACTCCTCTCTGTTCCCTGCTCATTTATATGGGCTTTGTTTATGCAAGCTGTTATCTGTACTGGAGTTATACAAATACAATCTTAAAAGAATTTAAGCACCTGGCAAATGTTTATCATTATCCCAGCTGTTTCATTTGCCATGTCACTTCTGAAAGGCATATTCATGTCTTTTCCCGAGCCACAGGAAATCTCATCTTGTCATTTTAATAAATAGGACATTACTGAGTGTCTGCAATTAAAAAAGTTAATTTGTGTGAGTCAACATCAGAGATTCAAAACACTGCACCAATGCCTCAGTAGGTTCTCATGTACTTATCATTTTCCTTGTGCACATGTGCATGGCACGTGCAAGTTTCTGAAAGAACCTCAGACAGCACTGCAGATTAAATGCTTGCATATGGGTGTAAGATGCAGCCAGTTAACGTGTCGTGGTGAAACAATGCTTTATTCCTCAGCTACTGATTACATACATTCTGGGCATGTAGACCAGCAGTGCATGGGCAGAGACTTGGGATTTAGCATCTCCCCCTCTTGTCTCTCACCCTCCTGGCACAATCCAAAACCTACTGCCTTTCTGTTTCTAAAGCAACACCACATTTTTGTTGTGGCTGAAGAAAGATGTTCTCACTCACAGCAGTATTGACCCTCTGCTGCTTTCAACAGAAACACAAACCCAGCATAAGGAAAGCAGACTCTTCTGAGGTAAAACACAGCAGCTCATTCCCAGGCTGCAAAGCAGAGCATGGAGTACAGCAAGCTCAGCTCCATAAGTCGGGAGAGTCAGAGCTCCCAGGTCCAATCCCTAACAAGTATGTACAACCCCTTCTTAAAGTGCATGGACATGAAGAAGTCACCATCTTGCTGGATGGCAGTAGATTCCTCTTGTTTTAATTAGTATCATTAATTCCTGTTTGTTTGCTTACTTGATTTTAATTATTAGATTAACAGAGATATTTTCATCACTAGCAGACTGATGAGGCTGCAGGATGCATTTGGTTTTGCCTGACAGAGGTGCAGAAATTCCTTAAGCTTGGCTTGCAAAGATGAAAGAGCAGCTTGTTCTATTTTCATGATACAAACAAATAGCAGACATTTCCTATATGAACCAAAGTACCTACGTTCTACAGTGACGTTTAACATCTCACTTTCCAAGAGGAGGGTTGTTTGTTTTTTTTTTTAAAACGAGAATCATAGAATCATAGAATCATAGAATCATAGAATCATAGAATCATAGAATCATAGAATGGCTTGGGACCTCAAGGATCATCAAGTTGCCAGCTGCTAGACCAAGTACTAGATTAGGTTGGCCGGGGCCCAAACCAACCTGGTCTTAACCACCTCCAGGGATGGGGCATCCACAACCTCTCTGGGCAGCCTGTGCCAGTGCATCACTGCCCACACTCACAGTAAAAAATTTCCTCCTGGCATCGAATCTAAATTTTCCCTCTTTTAGTTTAAAACCATTCCCCCTTATCCTGTCACTATCCAGATCTAAAAAGCTGATTTCCCTCATCTTTATAAACTCACTTTAAATACTACAAGGCCACAGTGAGGTCTCCCCACAGCCTTCTCTTCTCCAGGTTGAACTAGCCCAGCTCCTTCAACCTGTCTTCATAGGAGAGGTGCTGCAGCCCATGGTTTTTGGGATTGCCTCAACCCAAGTGCAGTACGTTGCACTTGGCCTTGAATTAGGTTTCTGAGCGCCCACTCATCAAACTTATCCAGGTCCCTTTGGATGGCATTCCTTCTTTCTGTTGCGTCAACCACACCACACAGCTTGGTGTCACCAACAAACTTGCTGAGGGTACACTTGATCCCATTGTCTACATCACTGATAAAGAAGTTAAAGAGTACCAGTCCCAGGACAGATCTATGTGGGACACAACTTATGACTGGCCTCCACCTGGACAGTGGTCTGTTGAACATCACATGCAGCCAAGGAGTTCCAGGAAGCCTTTTGTGCCTGGCTGACCAGCCAGATAGGCAGCAGCAATCTGCTAGGGAAAAATCTCCTCATCTTGAAACTGTATTCTTGGCAAATAAACGAGGCAGCCAAAATTGTTTTCCAGCTAAGCACAGTTGTTTAGAGTGTAAACACAATCCAAACACATTTCTCAGCTGTTCCTCAATGAGAAGAAATGATGTAGCAGTTATTTTTGCATAGGCATGACGTGGTATGTCAGTCTTTGGCTTCTTGCTTCTGCTCTACCACAGAGAGTCAAAAACCATCTGCCCTTGAACTCCACATGCTTTTCTTCAGAAAAATAGTCTCTTGATGAGGAAAAAAGAGAAAAACCAAGCAATAAGCTAATTAGGGGACACTGCAGTATAAGCGAGTCTCTTCATTTTCTTTGCTCCAGACTGTCCACATCCCTTTTGGAATCATAAGACTTCATGTACATTTAACTGATACCTCAACCACTTTCACGAATGCACTCACATTTCTTCCAGTGGTCATTGATTGCTTCTTTATAAAGATATATAGTTGTGGAATGAAGTAACTCCCTTGCATTATGTTACTGAATCTCAAAGTTATTACATTGCCTCTTTTGGAATCAATAAGAATTATCCAGTTAATTACAATTCATTCTCCCCATAAAAGAAAAGACAGTAAATGTGAAGTCTGGGTTTATTCTGTTAACCTGTTAGACCATGAACAGAGGCAGTCAAACCCTGTAGAAGCAGCTCATCTTTCAGCAGCCAATCCAGGTATTTGATATCCAGAAGGCGTTTAAGCTCTCAACCGTTCACTCAAGACATCACGACAATAGTTTAAACACACAAAACCCTTTTTTTCTTCCAGCCTTTCTCTCTCTGTGGTCTTGGACAGCCCAAGTAAAAAGCTCTTATCCTGCCCTTCTGCTCTGTGCTATGAGGCCTCACCTGGAGCACTGCGTCCAGATGTGGAGTCCTCAGTACAGGAGGGACATGGAGCTGCTGGAGTGCATCCAGAGGGCCACCAAAATGATCCCAGGGATGGAACACCTCTCCTACAAGGACAGGCTGAGAGAGCTGGGGCTGTTCAGCACGGAGAAGAGAAGGCTCCAGGGAGACTTGAGAGCAGCCTTTCAGTATCTAAAGGGGGCTGTAAGAAGGAAGGGGACAGACTCTTGAGGAGGGTCTGCTGTGGTAGAACAAGCGGAAATGGTTTCAAACAAGAACAGGAGAGATTTGGACTGGTTCTAAGGAAGGGGTTTTTTACTATACGGGTGGTGAGGCAGTGGCACAGGCTGCCCAGAGAGGTGGTGGATGCCCCATCCCTGGACGCACCCAAGGTGAGGCTGGAGGGGCTCTGAGCACCTGATGGAGCTGTAGGTGTCCCTGTTCACTGCAGGGGAGTTGGACCGGATGGCCTTTAGGGGTCCATCCGTAGTCAAACAGCTCTATGACTATATACTGCAAAGTTTCCACACCCGCTCCCCCCCCTCCCAGCGCCCAGACGCCCCTCAGCCCCCCGGAGGCAAGCCCCGCCCACCTCCATCCCCCGCCTCCCATTGGCCGAAGCAGCCGTCCGTCAGCGGCGGTTGCCATGGGGACGCCCTCACCGCTCCGCCGCCCTGAGGGGAGGAGCGGCGGCGCTATGGGGGCGGGGCGAGCTGTGGGCACCGGCACCGATGCACGGCGCGGACGAGGAGGGGGAGGCGGCGACAGCGGCGGCGAGGGGGCCGCGAGTGAGCGCGGCGAGCACGCAGACCGACAGCATGGCTGGTGAGCGCCGCCGCGTGTCCGCCGCGAGGCGCCCTGGGGCGGGGCGCTGCGAGGGCCGAGCGGCCGCTAACGGCTGGCCTGAGCGTGCGGCCTGCGGGTGGCTGCGGCGGGCGCCGAGGGAGCGGACAGCGACTTGTGGCCGGGATGGGTTTGGGCAGCTCCCGCACGGCGCTGCTGGGGGCTGTGAGGCAAATCCCTGCAGGAAGGCGCTGAGCTGTGAGGGGTCTGGAGCACAGATCTGATGGGCAGCGGCGGAGGGAGATGGGGTCGTTTGGATAAAAGGGAGTTGGGTGGTCGTAGCCAGAAGGTTGTCATCAGCGGCTCTGTGTCCAACTGGAGGCCGGTCGTGAATGGTGTCACACAGTGGGTCTGTCTTGGGACTGGTGCTCTTTAACGCCTTTATCAGTGGCACAGACCCTCAGCAAGTTTGTTGGTGACACTGAGCTGGGTGGTGCGGTTGACACAATAGAAAGAAGGGGTGCCATCCAGAGGGGCAGGGGTAGGCTGGAGAAGTGTTCACGTGCAGGTGTTGCACCTGGGCTGGGGGATGAACTCATTGAGGGCAGCCCTGCAGAGGACAGTGTGTGGGTCCTGGTGGGTGGAAAGCCAGCAGTGTGTGCCTGCAGCCCAAAAGGCCAACTGCATCCCGGGCTGCATCAACAGAGGGGTGGCAGCAGGGAGAAGGAGGGGATTGTCCCTCTCTGCTCTGCCCTTGTGATGCCCATCTGCAGTACTGCGTCCAGATCTGGGGCCCACAACACAGGAGTGGTGCAGAGCTGTTGGAGCAGGTCCAGAGGAGGGCCACAAAGAAGCTCATAGGGCTGGAGCACCTCTCCCATGAGGAAATGTTGAAGGAGTTGGGCTTGTTCAGCATGGAGAAGAGAAGGCTCCGGGGAGACCTCATTGTGGCCTTCCAGTACTTGAAAGGAGCTTATAAGCAGAAGGGGGACTGACTGTTTACATGGGTTGATTGTGATAGGATGAGGGGGAATGGCTTTAAAGTAAAAGATAGGAGACTTAGGTTAGATATCAGGAAAAAATTCTTTGGTCACAGATGTCACAGGCCCTGGCACAGGCTGTTCAGAGAAGCTGTGGATCCCCCATCCCTGGAGGTGTTAAAGGCCAGGTTGGATGGGACCCTGAGCAGCCTGAGCTGCTGGGTGGGAGCCCTGCCTATGACAGGGGGGTTGGAGCTTAATGATCTTTAAGGCCCTTTCCAACCTAAGGCATTCTATGATTGTTTAGTCAGAGAAGAGGAGGTTCAGGGGAGACTCAGGTCACTCTCTACAATGACCTGAGAGGAGGTTGGTGGGTGTCGGCTTCTTTTCCCAGGTAACAGCTATAAGATGAGAGCAAATGACCTTAAGCTTTGCAGGGGAGATTAAGGAAGGATATTAGGGACAATTTCTTCTCAGAAGGAGCAGTGAGACATTGGAACAGGCTGCCCAGGGAAGTGATGAAATCACCGTCTCTGAAAGTGTTGAAGAACCATGTAGATGTGGCACTGAGTGATGTGGTTAGTGGGCATGGTGGTAATGGGCTGGCGGTTGGACTGGATGATTGCAGTGGTCTTTTCCAGCCTTACTGATTCTATGATTCATGCACAGCTTTGGGCTAAGGCCTGTTGGCTCTCCTGGCAGGCAGTGGGGGCTGTGTCCTGCTGTCTCTATGAGAATCCCACTCTCTCACTGCAGTTTTGCTCTGCACGTCTTTCTGTTTTCCTTTTCCAGGTGCTTTAAGGTTATAAGGATGTCACTGATCTCTTCCTTAACGACACTCAAAGCAATGTTAGTTTTTCTATGAGACATTCAGACTTTGAACTACAGATTCCCACATTGCAAATCAGGTATAATTACATTCTGAGCCACGTCTCATGGACATCCCCACAATGGTGCCTTCAGCATCGCCCTTCACAGCTTGTGCTCCATAAACACACTCTCCCTCACTGCAGCAAGGTCTTTGACCTGCAGGAGAAAAATTGTGCCTTGTGTTTGAGGTTGGGCTATGTTAATAGGGAAATGGAGGCTTTGATGCATCGCAAAAGAGCACGCCTGGCTTTGCTCTTGTTAGCAGAGAGCAAATGAATAAAGATGCAGATACATGGAAATGCTAACTGTGACCTTCCTTCTTTCCTTTTTCATCATAATATCCTCCTGCTTCTCGTGATAAATCTATATCTATTCACAACAGGAAGCAGAGTCTGTACATTTTTCTGTTTGCTTTTCATGTGTTCAACATCTTGCACCCAGATAAGGTCCAATAAACCAATCATTCCGATTTCTTTCTGGCGTATTCTATTTGGAGTCTACTCTGTATGATAAACTGCAATTCATTTAGAAATTATGATGGTAGACATGAGATGAAATAAATTTTGCTGTTTTTTTTTAGCTTGCCATTTGGGTATTGTAAATGTGAGTGAGTGATACGGGGCTGTAACACAGATGAACTCAAATGTCATAGAATCATTGAAGTTGGAAAAGACTGCTAAGTTCATCCAGTCCAGCTGTCAGCCCATCCCCACCATGTCCACTAACCACGTCCCTCAGTGCCACATCCTCATGGTTCTTGAACACCTCCAGGGATGGTGACTGCACCACCTCCCTGGGCAGCCTGTGCTGGTGCATTACCACTCGTTCTGAGAAGAAGTGTTTCCTAATACGCAACCTGAGTTTCCTCTGGTGCAACTTTAGGCTCTTATGTTAGTCGTATCACTGTTACCCGGGAGATGAGGCCAACCCCTGCCTCACCACAACCTCCCCTGAGCCTCCTCTTCTCTGGACTGAACAGTTCCCTCAGCCGCTCCCCGTAAGATCTGTGCTCCACACCCCTCACAACTTCATTGCCGTTCTCTGGACATGTTCCAGAGCCTCAATGTCTTTCTTTGTAGTGAGAAGCCCAAAACTGAACACAGTACTTGAGGTGCAGCCTCACCAGTGCTGAATACAAAGGGATGATCACCTCTCTGCTCCTGCTGCCTGCACTACTGCTGATACCAGTCAGGACGCTGTTGGCCTTCTTGGCCACTTGTGCAGTGCTGGCTCGTGTTCAGCCAGCTGTCAACTGACACCTTCTGATACTTTTCCTCTGTGAAGCTTTCCAGCCACTCTGCCCCAAGCCTGTAGCAATGCACAGGGTTGTTGTGACCAAAGACTGTTTGGTCTTATTGAAGCTTGTACAAATGGCCTCAGCCCATTGATCCAACCTGTGCTGATTCTTCTGTAGGACCTTCTTTCTCCCAGGCACATCAACACTTCCTCTTATCTTGGTGTCATTTAGTTTACTGAGGGTGCAGTGTCCATTTAAGAGAATAAAATCTGCTTATTTAAATATGGCTGACAGAATTATTTTTAGTGTTTGCTTTTAGTACAAGAGAAGACAAATCTTCACATGTGCTACTTTCTTGCTAGCAGGCATGTCTAATGGGCTCACTGTGGGCCCCTCATAGTGTTTGTGTGTGGTGAGGGGCTGTCCCCAGCTGTGCAGCCCAACAAGTGTGGGATCAGGTGGTACTGCTAAGAGGGCAATTGCTGCTTTCCAAAAGCCCTCATTTTGTTCTTCCCTCTGTGTGAAAAATGCTACAAAAGTACAGTCTGAAAATGGTATTCCAGTCATGGGTTGCATGCGTTTAACTGCTGTCCGAAATGTTTGGGTTCACAGCTCTGTCATTAGACTAACCTTCTCCCTTGCCAGTCGTGTGAGGCACAACTGCTTTACATCTGGAGGGTGTAAGTATTAGTGAGCAATGCAGTGCTTGCTCCTTCACAGAATCACAGAATGGACAGAGCTGGAAGGGACCTGAAGGATCATGAATCTCCAACCCCCCCCCCACCACAGGCAGGGCCACCAAGCTCCCCATTTAATACTAAACCAGGCTGCCCAGGGCCCCATTCAACCTGGCTTTGAACACCTCCAGGGATGGGGCATCCACAACCTCTCTGGGCAGCCTGTTCCAGCACCTCACCACTCTCTCTGTAAAGAACTTCCCCCTGACATCCAACCTAAATCTTCCCTCCCTCAACTTAAAACCATTTCCCCGTGTCCTGCAGTTATCTACCCTTTCAAAGAGTTGATTCCCCTCCCCTCTTTAGGCTCCCTTTAGGTATTAAAATGCTGCAGATGTAGATGTCATACTGTCATGCAGAGGGTGACAGTATAAGACCATGATGTGTGCTGGGATAGCTCTCCATGTGGTGAGCCTGAAGCTGAGTCATGAGGTATGTCTCACATTTCTGTCAGCATCTGGGAATCATTTGATAACATGAACTTAAGTTATGTGGGATCTGCTCTGCGGTTCATGCTTTCCACTTTTGAGTTGAATTACCTTGCTGCAAACATTCTAGCTTGACTTACTTTCCAGAAGTAATTTGGAATTAGAATCACAGAATGGCCTGGGTTGAAAAGGACCACAATGATCATCTAGTTTCAACCCCTGTGCTATGTGCAGGGTCACCAACCACCAGACCAGGCTGCCCAGAGCCACAGTCTGTCTGCTATCATAGCAGAAAGGTTGATAATATAGTTTCAGCAGCAGCAAAAGTGGAAAATGTTCTTCAGAACTTTTGTTTGTATCTGAAGAAAGCCTTTCTTTTACCTGCAGGCCAGTTAGAAAACTCTGGCAGTTGGGATTGATGTTGGGAGAAGTATATATTAAGGCATTAAAGTTGATAGTAGCTCTCATCATAAGCAAAGTCTTCCTGCATTATAATGCCTCTGTATCATTCCACAGAACAGAAACTTATGTGTTTATCTAATGAAAAGTGAGGAAATTTGTAAAATACAGAAATTGTGCCAGTTTTGTTTTTCCCTTCTGGAAGCCTGGATGTTTCTGATAGAAACAGGATCTGGTAACATAAAGGTATGGTGGAGGCAGGGTGCTGCTCAGCCAGTTAGCCACGTCTTGGTGGTCTGATCTGCTACTTGATCAGTCTAGTGGCTGGCAGCCCTGCCTATGGCAAGGGAGTTGGAACTTGGTGGTCCCTTCCAACCCAAGCCATTCTATGATTCTGTGACCTTGCCTCCATCTCTGGTTGTGTTCTTCCTAGCAAATTTATCCCCTAACCTAGGAAAGAAACATGGAATCTGGCGTGCCACTTTGGAAGGGTTGCTAGCATCTGCTCTATGGCACCCCCATGACTAGGATATACGTCTTAGTTATTAATGTAATTTTTCTTTGTAAATACTCTTTAATAACTATTTCTTTTTTCTTCTAATGGCAGGCCAAATACCCAGACTTTCTAAGGTCAATCTTTTTACTTTGTTCAGTCTCTGGATGGAGCTCTTTCCTTCTGCCGAACAACAGAAGAAATCACAGGTAAAATGTCAGAACTTACTGCTAATTGGTCTTTCTGAACAGATGCTAACAGCTTTGTAACCTAACTACTCTGTACAGAGTAGATAGTCCAGGGAAAAAAAAAAGAAAAAGCTGATAGGTTTTTTTCGAGTTTACTTAGAGGTAGAAGAAAATGTGGTGAGAGAAAAACAGCAGAACAGTTTCACAAGCTGCTGTTTGTGAAAAAACTTGAAAGGCAAGACATAACCCCAACAGATGAAGCAAACAGTAAAAATGCTGTTGGGCATTTTGAAAAGCATAACAACGGAGACGTGGTACATATTGTGCATTTCTTAGTACCCACTGGTTGTATCATTAAGATCAGCATGACTGATGATGTAGAGAGTCCTTGCAATGACAGTGTTAGTGGTTGTAGAGAAGTTTTCTTATGCAGTGAATGTGCACAGAACTGCTCAAAACGTTTGTTGATCAGGAGCTTGTAGGTAACTACCTTAGTGACAGTGTAAAGAAAGCATCCTCCAGAATGAGTCTTCTGTATAGTTGCCAGTTACAGGTCAAAGTACAGGGGTGTTTGCAGAGTGTCCCGGAACAGGGAGTCTCCATTTGTAGTCAGAGTTCTTATTATGCTCTTTAAAATGATTATTTCTTTGTGCACAGCAGACCCATGTGCTGAGACACATTGCACATATATCAACCAGGACAAGAAAAGATAGGATAATAACTTGAATGACAAGTAGTTTTCAGAGTGTTGTACTGCATGTCCCTGACTGATTGCTGCGTTTGTGAAAGAGGGGTAGATGAACACTATAGAGACTTCAAATATAGTTTGAAATTTAGTGATTCAGTTTGGAAAGGCACGTGGGTTATATGTGGGGCTTTGGTACAGCCCTATCTCTGTAACCACAGAGAAATTGAATAATTTACAGACAAGTGTTTGGGTTACAGCTGGATTGCATAACGAGATCTACATCATCAGTGGGAGAGGGAACGGCTGTTTATGAGGGTGGATAGTGGTAGGACAAGGGGGAATGGCTTTAGACTGAGACAGGGGAGGGTTAGGTTAGATATTAGGAGGAAGTTTTTCACACAGAGGGTGGTGATGCACTGGAACAGGTTGCCCAAGGAGGTTGTGGATGCCCCATCCCTGGAGGCATTCAAGGCCAGGCTGGATCTGGCTCTGGGCAGTCTGGTCTGGTGCTTGGCGACCCTGCACATAGCAGGGGGTTGAAACTGGATGATCATTGTGGTCCTTTACAACCCAGGCCATTCTATGATTATATGATCAAACTAGCCAGTATTCAGTTTCTTCACAACATGTGGGAATCCAGATGTAAAAGCTCTTGTCTATGACTTGCAGGCTTTTTCCTGTGAAGCTTATTTAGAACCACAATTCATTTCTATAATTGAAAAAACCAGAAATAAAACTAGAGAACTGATTGGATCCCAGGATGATCACGATAGAAATTGAAATCATTCAGCACTTACAGTAGCTGAGTGATTGAGAGGAGCTTTAAGTTGTAGTGGATGGAATTTTCTGTGCAGTTCTGAGTTTTATAATAGGTAAAACTATGGTCAGAAAAAAACAGGAATTGGTGACAAGTCTTGGTGTGAAGTTTGACAGAGATGCAGCACTCAGGTATTAAGATCGATGTGTAGGCACCACCACTGCTTAGTGGAAATACAGCATAAACAATATTTAATGATTCATATCAAAATTTGTACCAGGGAGGAATGTACTCCATTCCTGGTTGATGAGTGTTTCCCAGGGAGAAGCTGGAATATCCCTATGGACGTAATGCTAATAATCATGCATTGTTTTCTGTAGGTGAAGAAGAGCGGTCTGGTTGTGGTGAAAAACATGACAATTATTGGTCTTCATTGTTCCAGTACAGACCTGCATGCTGGTCAGATTGCACTCATTAAACATGGATCAAGACTTAAAAACTGTGATCTTTACTTTTCCAGAAAACCATGTTCAACTTGCTTAAAAATGATTGTAAATGGTAAGTGCTGATTGTAGTGTAGTGGGAATAAATGTTACACTTGCCATTGGTGGTGTCAGAACAGCCATTTTCTCTTTGATTATCCTAGCTGTGGGCTCTGATTGGCAGCTTATGGAAGCCTGCACTGTTATTATTTTTGACTGTATTGAATGTGCATTTCCTGAATCTGATGATCAAGATATTAGGGTTTGCTAATAAGACCATATTTCTTTCTGTAGCAAATCTTGTTTGTGGTGCCTGTTTCTCATGTGGTATGCAGTGCTGAGATTCTGACACACCCATTGCACTCTCCCAGAACAACCCTAAGCCTGATGACCAGGTCTAGATTACTACATTTTTAACTTGTCCTCTCATTGATATTAGTGGCACAGAATAAAGATTGTGCAGAAATCAGAAGGGAATACTTTTAAGTCTTCCTTCTTCCAAGTGAGATGAAGACAGATTATTCACTTCCTGATATAGGATCTGCTGATATAGCTCTGCTGTAGGTTTTAGATTTGAATTTCAGCAGCAGTTTCTATTATCATTAACTTTTTTAAGCATTGGCAATGTATCTGTTATAGGTAAGATGCCAAATAATGCTGCCACAAAGATGTTGGAACTTAAGAAATTTCTATTTTTGTTTATGATCTGGTTATCGAATCAGGTAGGCTCCTGATACTGGCTGCCATTCTTATTGCCCAGCCATACCTTATGCAGTACGTGGGGCCTTAAAAGACTAAAAACAGGATTAGACAATAATGTATTGCTTTTGAGGTTTGTGTCCCACGGTACTTCAGTGGCTCCTTTTTCTGCATTATCTTCTCTTCCAGCTGGGGTGAACAGGATTTCTTACTGGCCCGCGGATCCTGAAATCAGCTTGCAGAATGAGACATCCAATCCTGCGATGACCAGTGATGCAAAGCTCGATGCCAAAGCAGTAGAAAGGCTGAAGTCAAACAGCCGTGCTCGGGTGTGTGTGTTGCTTCAGCCCTTGGTGTACTATATGGTGCAGTTTATTGAAGAAACTTCCACCAAGCTTGATTTTATTAAAAAAATAGCAAAATCTCAGCCTGACTTTAATACTGACTTTTATACTGCGTGTAGACAAGAAAGAATTAAAGAATATGAAAGTTTATTCCTGATTTCAAATGAGGAAACACACAAGCAAATATTGATGACCATAGGACTGGAGAACCTCTGTGAAAATCCATACTTCAGCAATCTTAGGCAAAATATGAAAGATCTGGTCTTGGTCTTGGCCACGGTGGCTGCCAGCGTCCCTGTCTTTGGTTGCTTTGGATTTTACAGTAGTGAACCACAGCCAGCAAATGAAACATGCCATCAGGGTTTGCCCCAAGAGATTGCAAGGCACTGTATGGTACAAGCCATGCTGCTCGCCTACCGGACAGGTGAGTTATTACTGCAGGGAAATAGGAATGGATCTCGTGTGAGTGAGTTCCTGATTGTTTCAGTCTTGCTTCTTCTATTAAATTTCCTAGTTTGAGCAATACCATGTATTTAAGGAAGGGCAGCAATTAAGTAATAAATACGAGGTTTTGATGGTTTGCAGTCTCAGATCATCATGGTGGTCTGTATGTATTCTTGGCACGTGTGTTCCTATTTATACATATTGGTTGCTTCTCAGCGTCTGTCAAAAAATGGGCATGGCAAAATCATAAAATGGCTGGCCTTGCTGTTAAAGCACCCCCAGCTTTTGCAATAGACTCTCAAGACTTTGAAGGTCTTGGTCTTGCTGCATTCCTTCCTCCTATCCAGAGAACAACCTTACTCTAGAATGTAATATGTTAGTACGTACATGACTTAGAAGCACCTTATTTGTTATTTACTGCTAAAATTTATGTCTTTCAGAGGATCATAAAACAGGAGTCGGAGCTATTATTTGGGCAGAAGAAAAATCAGTAAGTATTTTGAAAGTTGCCTTCTCTTGCCCTTGTATACGCTTGTATCTGCTTTGGGCTTGTGTTTCTTTTAATTTGCATATGTATAGTGGGTAAACATTTGAACCCATGTGTAAACTTGTACATGTGTGCAGTGCTGTAGAAAGCCCTGTATTTCTCACTATTTGTACCTAACTTTTCACTGCTTGTGCTCTCAGGATGAAGGGGAAATATAAATCAGTTCAGTGAGTGCCACAGTGTATCTGCCTCTTTTTAGCATGCTTGCTTCCCTAGTTGTCAGTATTTCAGGTGACCACATCCTTTACACTTTTTATTTCCACTAACAGTATGCAAAAAGGGAAGCCTTTTAGAGCCCAGTTTGGTCTGTTGTCTGTATTGCTGCAGTTTGCCTGTGTGGCTACATGGAACAGCACTGTGCAGACATGTAGCAGTTGGCTGAGTTCTCTTCTAACCTCTGTAACTTGGCGTGAACTTACAATGCTTGCATACTAAACAAAATGTGAAAGCATATATTGCACAATGCTTTGACTCAGTACTCAGTTTAAACATCTCAACATTTAATAATTTGTTTACTGTTGCAGAGAAGCTGTGATGGAACAGGAGCAATGTATTTTGTAGGCTGCGGTTACAATGCCTTTCCTGTTGGATCTGAATATGCTGATTTTCCACACATGGATGACAAACAAAAAGATCGAGAAATCAGAAAGTTCAGATACATCATACATGCTGAGCAGAACGCCTTGACATTCAGGTAATGAGTTGAGTTTTACCACCAAAAAAAAAAAAAGAGACGACAGTTCAGAAACAGTTTCATGACAGAAGCATGATGTCACTGTGAAGAAATGTGGCTTGCAGTGTGGACTGCAGTCCCAGTCTTGTTTATACTTATGGGACAGAGGGTGGATGTGCACAGACACAGTCAGGGTTTCTTCAGACAGAATCTAAGTGAACTTGGTTTTGAAAAGATACTCACTCCAGTGTGTGGCAGCCATCTTTCAAATATAAGCCACTGCCTCTGCTTCCTGCTAGGACCGTGCTATAACCTGAAATGTGGAAGCGTGGCAATTGTTGAGGCTCCTGACACCATATGTGATGTGTATGGAAAGGTACGAGGGGCATTTCATTCACAGGGAGTAAAACCAGACCAGGTGGTTTTGTATGCTCCTGCACTTAAGCAGGAATAAGCTGATTGTGAGAGCAGGTGCTACATAGCACAACACTTCTTTGCTTCTTCCTGTTGTCACCATTCAAAACTATCAAGATGTAAATTCTGAAGTTCTGTTTTCTGACTGCTTGTAGGTGTCGAGAAATAAAGCCAGACGAGAGAAGCATGATATTTGTGACAAAATGTCCTTGTGATGAATGTGTCCCTTTAATCAAAGGGGCTGGTATCAAGCAAATCTATGCAGGAGATGTCGATGCTGGAAAAAAGAAAGCAGATATTTCATATATGAAGTTTGGTGAACTGGAGGGTGTAAGCAAATTTACTGTAAGTATCTAAAATACATGTTGTATACAAAAACCTGTGGGTAGCATTAGTGGGAGGGTGGAGTGAGCAGTCACAGAGCTGCAGTACAGGAGTGTGCTGTTTAATCAAGTGTGAGTGGCACTGAGAGGTTGCTCTGGAACCACTGGGGAGGAGTGCTATGCCACGTCCCAGGTGGTGCCTGTTTTCTGGGATGTCATTTCCTTGCAGATTGCCATCTGACTTGTGGCTGCTTGTTGACACGGCAGTTCACCATGCTGAAGTTCTCCTCAGACCTCCGTTCTGCAGCATGGGGTGGGAGATGGCATCGTGCTTTCATAGGCCCTTCTGGTAGCTATCCAAAGAGCTGTGGTGGGTTTTGAAGGTGGCCAAGTGCACCTGTGCTCAGGGTGCTCACCATACCAAACTGCAGTCCTGTTAGTCTCGGCAGGCTTGTTTCCCCATCTCAGGGGAATAAATGGCCACACAAGCCCTAAGGGATTTTTATCCTCAAAGGAAGTGTGTGTTTGAGGGGGAGCCCTTCTTTTCTCAGCTCACAGTGAACAATAGAAAGTTACTTTTTTCTCCCCTTGCTCTTTCTTCTGTCTTCTGGAATAAGTGAAGGGTCTGGAGCACAAGTCCTATGAGGAGCGGCTGAGGGAGCTGGGATTGGTCAGTCTGGAGAAGAAGAGGCTCAGGGGAGACCTCACTGCACTCTACAACTGCCTGAAGGAGGGTTGTGATGAGGAGGGGTTTGGCCTCTTCTCCCAGGCAACAAACAGGACCTGAGAAAATGGCCGCAGAAGATGTACCAGAGGAGGTTTAGGTTAGACATAAGGAAGAATTTCTCTCAGAGGGTGGTCAGGCACTGGAATGGCTGCCCAGGGAGGTGGTGGAGTCGCCGTCCCTGGCAGTGGTCAAGAGGCGTCTGGATGAGGAGCTGCAAGATTTGGTTTAGTGCTTGTGGTAGCAGTGGTGATGGGAGGATGGTTGGACTAGATGATCTTGTAGGTCCTTTCCAACCTTGTGATTCTATGATTCCATGAAATAAACATTTTTTTCTTCTTTTACCAGTGGCAACTAAATCCGTGCCACCCTAACGCTGTTGAATTCCATGAAACCACAATGAGGGAAAGTAAGTGGTTTTTTCATTAATGTGTTTTATGACTGAAATCTGTAAGTAAGATCAAGCTTTAAACAAATCTGAATTCCTCTGGGGATTGATTTCAGTTAGTTACATTTTTCAATGAATGCTTCTCTAAACTTTTTGAATAGATGAACTGATGGTAAGTCAAAAATATAAGTTTGCTTTAACAAATGCTTGGCACTTGCACACATTACAAAATCTACTAGTGCTATTGTTAAGATCATTTCAGACTACATTACCACGTTTTATGTTGTGTTCTGTAAAGACTTTAAGAGACTTGGAGTGCCGTTCTTCTCAGAAGAAATTAGACTCTGAGTCACTTAAATGAAGGAGAACTTAGAGCAGTGTTTTTCAGTGAACATCTTTTCATTTTTATTTATTTTTTGCTCTGAAAGTAATGCTTCCTATTTATTTCCGTGAAAACTACAACAGATATAAGAGCCCAATAACACTTTGATAGAGGAAATTCTCATCTACAAACACTATTTTTCAACAGTCAGTATGATTAGCTAAGTATTTTCATCAGCAGTGAACAAGAGCCTGCATGCTGTGCTTGTAAAAATCTGTTACCAGCAGAGGTGACCTCTATTTCACAGCTACTATGATGGCACCATTGCTGGGAAAATGTTGCCCTTGCAGCCTGTCTTTCATCAACAGATGGAAGTCAGAATGTGTCTAATCTGGACTACAAAATGGGTGTAGTAGGACTGTCCAGCCAAGGTTGGCAATTTGCAGTCTTCATACTGGAGCCTGGTGTTATTGTGTTGCAAAATAAAATTTGTCTTCTCTGGAATTTCAAGCCTTCAGCTTAGTCAACGTCACAATGTAGCAGTTACAGTGTCATGGTTTTTCTGAGCTCCAGGAAATCCAGAAGGATCACCGCTTTCCTATCCCAAAAGACAGCATACATCACTTTGTGTGCTGAGGGCTGCATCTCGAACGTTCACCAAGTGTCAGTGAATGTCAGTGGGTGCAGTTTTTTCTGCATGGAGAGATTCAGTGACACACCTTTGCTTCATCTTCCTCGTGAGATGCATTTTGTCAGAGTGCCCAGCTGCAGCCGTCTGTCACACAGCAACAAAATGTAATGGGATATTGGTGGGAAAGTTCATCCTTTACTGCCACACTTCCAACATCCACCTCTGATGTGGTGGGCCAGCATAGCAAGATAGGAGGCATTACTTTTGGGGCAGCTGTGGTACTGTCAGCCACCAGTCCTCAAAATGCTTCTCAGCCTAGGTGAAAACCATGTGGAAAAGTAAATTAAAAACAATTTCTGTGCTTCAAGCAGAAAAGGTGGAGAGCTGGCAGTAGCTCCAAGCTATGAGCACTGTGCTAAGAGGGGGTGTTTTTGTAGCACATGAATAGCTACATACCACAAGCTAATTCCTAACAGGTAGAGAGCTGTGGAGAAGTCTCTTCCCAGCAATTTCCTTACAGGTCGTGGGAAGAAAGAAAGAGGGAATGCTTCAGGGTAGTGTTTAGTAATCATTGCATAATGTCAGGGTGTGTTCGTCCCTCTGTGTCCTCATGGGTTTCAGCTGAAGAAAGATTCACCCTGTGGTATCTTTTGTCTGACACCTTTTTAATGGTTAATTTCTCTAACAGTGTTTCCCTTGGGATGGCATGCTTCCGTTCTCAACACTGAACTGTTCTAATTTGCTCTCTTTCTGCAATACACGTTCCTCTCGCAATGACTATTGCGTGATCCCTTCATGGGAAAGAAGAGAACCTCTCCCACCTCCACCCAGTGTTACTGCAGTGTGCCTGTATGCGTTGAGTATTTAGACTATGCTTCCTCTTGCATTTACATTTCACTTTTGTTTTTTCTCTAGATGGAGTTCAGAAGACAAAATCGGTAGATGATCAGCAGCACCAGAGCAAGAAGCTGTGTCTTGGTCACTACTGAATAATCACTTAAGCACTCCTGCATTCTTGCTCTGTACTTTTTATAACGCAGCCTGTTTGCACTTTCAAATAACGAAGGATTTTATTTATTGTTTGGAAAGTGATTTTTAGAATAACTTTATTTATGATGCCTTGAACGTTTTACAGAATTACTTGAAGGTCTTTTTAATTTACAAGTTCCTGGGGAAAAAAATGCTGCTTGTATTTTCTATGAAAGTAATTGGGTGGCAAATAATTGTTAATGCATAAGAACAAATGCAGAAATTTGTTGCTGGTGTATCAGAGGAATAATAAAATGTTCTCTCTTTGCTTGGTGTAGGGATTGAGGGAATGGATTTCTAAGTTCTGGGTAAGCAGAATGTAGAAATAAGCTGTGGTTCAAGTAGAGTACTCAAAGGAATCTCCAAGAAAACAGTAGATAAGTCATCTCTTGTAACCAGCCCAGTTCCTCAAAGTGGCCTTTGCTTCTCAGTCCGTTTGTATAATGGAGACACTGCCACTGGGACATAATGGTTGTTAGAGAAGTGATTTGGAGATTGTTTGTCTCTCATACATCACTTCTTCCAACTACCATAGCAGCACAGCTGTTCTCTTCTGTGGTACTTGCATTGCTGTGGTGTGTTCTTTGTGCTTCCTCAAGCACATCCCATCTGAATTAATCTAGACCTTTGCTTCCATCCTGAAAACCCTGGAAGGAGAATGGTGTCCTAAGATTCGGCTTAGTTTCAATTTGTTCCTTGCAGGCTTTGGATAGCAAAGCCGTGATGGGACAGCATGCAAAGCAGTGTTAACATAGCATTAACTGCAGGGAGACTGTTCTCACCCAGTCTGGTCCTACAATTTAAAGTAGGGTTTTGATGTTCAGAACTGCAGCAAGGAGCTGAGATTCCTTACGGCCCATCAGATAACTTCATATCAGAATTGGGAAATGCTTGTATCCTCTTACCACCATGAGAATTTGCTCTTACTAAAGGCTGGAGGAAGGCTTTCTCTCAGTTTAGTGAAACTGAAGACAGCCTTGGGTGAGAGGTGAGAGGTATGTGCAGTCAGCAGCAGAAATCTTGCCAGGCAAGTGGCTGATCTACCACCACTGCTGTCCTTTCCCAGGACCAGGATGAAAATATGACCCTGTTTGTCAACCAAAGGAAGGATGGTGAAATCCACTTTTTGCATCACACCTCAAAAATTTGCACAATAGCTCATGAGGAAGTATCTGATCTGCCACTTGCTGACTGAACTACCACCAGCTCTTGTGGTCCAGAGCACAGGGCCTGAGATCCTGGACCAGCAGGTCCAGCTGCAGGAGATCTGTGCCTCTGTCAGACAGGGAGTCCAGCTTGGGCCTGGGGAGGGTGTTCCTGTTCTGGATGTCAAGCAACCCTCCCAAACTGATTTTTGTCCTCTCATAAATTTCATGGCTTATAACTTCCACTCAAGTTCGAAGTTGGATGTTGGTGCTTCGTAAGCAAGACAGTCATTATAATCTGTTTTAAATCAAATATTTTACTATGTCATACTGTTTTCCTTCCATTTCTTGTAAGCATCCTGTGTAAGAGTGATTACTCTTGGCTTTTTCTACAGATTAGAAGAACACTGTCTAGATTAAAGCACCCCCGTACCCTGACACCTTCATGTTTCTATCATCCATCGGCAGTGCTCTCCTGCTTGAGGGAGAAGCAGGGAAAAAATAGGTGCAGGTTTAAGGCCTCTTGAGGTTTTATCCTCATCAGTCAGCTGGTATCGGAGCAGGATAAGTCTATGTCTTTATGAGAATGGCTGAGATGGAAAAGTCCCTGAAAGGTGGTGGGTGGCCTGGGTACAGGGAGAGGCAAATCACGATGTACGCATCAAATATTACACATGTTAAATAACTGCACTGCAGTGGATGCTGCTGGTAGCCTTCATGAGGAGTTATGATTTTACCTTCAGTTTTTATTGGTTTTTTAAAAGGGATTTTTGTACAAAACTTTCTGTGAAACTTGGAATTGCTTTTAAGGCTGAAGGCTTGCAAGTCTGACCTGCTGTCACGCTGTCTTTGGACAGATTCCTCCAGAGGTTCACAAATGTCCCTAGGCTCCGATGATCTGTGTAACTCTGCTTTGTTTCCTGCTGGGATTGCAGAGTAGGAAGAACGTGAGCAGGGGTTTCTCCTGACCCACAGACTGTGCAGGCACTGCTGTGCATCTCATCTGCTCGCCCAGGGGAGGCATGCGAGGTCGGGCATCTCCTGTTGTGCTTCTGCAAATGAACTGTAGGGTGTGTGTTTCTTACATCAAAGGAAAAATGTATTTAAAGTTAAGAAATGTAAAAGCTATATATTTTATATAGACGTATGAAATTTCTGTACGCATTTTGGGTCTCTTTGGTTCATCTCAGAGCAGTCTTTCCAATTGCAGGTATGAGCTGCTGCTAACAGTTTGGCCTCTTGACCAAGAATTACAGAAATTCTCTGCTAATTGTTTGCCTTACAGCAAAAGATGTTTTCTGCTAATAAATGATTCTGGTTGTAAGTACTGAAGTGTTTGGCTTTCACTGCCTGGATCCGGTAAGGGACATCACCTGGAGACTGGAAGGGCAAAGCAGGCAGATGGTTTTGGTCAATTTCTAACAGATGCAGGTGGTCGTGTCACTAATGAAGGTGGTCACCGTGCCACATACGTGGAGCTGACTGTTCTGCACAGCAAGGGAACTGCAGAGAGGGGTTGACAAACACTGCACTGATCGTCCTTGGGCTCCTCCTGCTTAGCAGGCTGCGCAGTGCCAGTTCCGCAGCCCACATACGTGGCACGGCCGGCCACCTGGACAGAGCATTTTCAGACACGGGGCAAAATGCGCTGCTCTGCGTGCTGCAGTTCTGCTCTCTTACAGAAGGTGGTAGCACTCAGTAGCTTCCCTCGGAACTGCCACTCCGCTGCCAGCTCCCACCCGCTCTCCCGTTGCAGCATTCACACAGCTGACAGCTTCAAGTCAGGGCTGCTCCTTCCTGTCTCCTGGCACGGCTGCGGGGTGGGCGGTGGAACGGAGAGCTGCAGCCCTCGCTTCCTCCCGCTCCTCTCCCAGCACTGAGTTCAGTCCTGCAGCCACAGCTCCCCCACGTGCCGATCTCGGGGAAATGCGGAGCTGTTGGAGCGGCGCCCAGGCCGTGAATGAGTGAACCGATGGAAATGGCAAATTCCATCTTCAGCTCGAAGACCCCGTCTTTATTTAACTATGGGCGTGCCCTCCCCTGCTGTGATACAGCAGCACGGTGCTTGATGTCTCATTCACCCTTTTTTTTGCTTCTTTCAAAAAGCTATGCAGGTTGAGCTTGGAGCTGACCCAGCCAAGAGGTGTGCTGGCAATATCCGGAGTCAGGAGAAGTTCCTTGTGCAACAAACTGCAAAGAACCCAAGAAGTCCTTTCAGTGTAAGACCAACCCCTTCTTCCTCTTTTCCCACACGCATGAACTTCCCACCAGCCCCTACTGCTGTGCTTGGATGGCCGCCATCACAGAAGGCAGAGAATGGCACGTTCTGCTCACACCAACAGTGGGTATCACCTCTCCTCATGCTGCAGCCAGACCACAGCACGAGGTGCCAGGAGAAGGGCAGAAAGAATTTGGCACCACGCAGCCTCGCTCTCCCGGAGGGCAAGAGGGGAAAAAAAAAGACAACAGTCATAGAGATACAGCTTACTTGGTAATCATGCCTTTAATAGCTTGTAAATATTTTCTTTTTAAATTCCAGGCAACTAAGATGTGCTTTTTTTGTGTGTATATCTGACATCTGGAAAAAAAAAACAAAAAACAAAAAACAAAAAAACAGTACAAACCCATGAATCCACAATCTTTTCAGTTTCATCCCTTTTCTATAGCACATAAATAAAAGTCACCCCAATATACAACAGTTTTATGAAGGAAAAAGCCTTGCTCCATTTTCACAATTCAGTTGGCCTTTCTATCTGTAGCATTAGTGCCAGCTTTGGCTGCAAAACAGCCTTACAACAAACAGGACAACTCAGGACTTCAGCTGGCAAGAACAACTCAAGACATTTCCACTCCTTGCTCTCAAACTCCACATCCCGATGAAGCCCCAGAAAACACCTTCAATCCCACTAAGAAAAGACCCCGCACTGTCCCAACACACCCAGGGAACACTGTTTGGATCACAGAGCTTATTCAACTTTGAATGTGAGCAGTGCAATGATTGCCCGTGCGGAACCTGAATCCACGTGTGAATGACCGGGGATAGAAAACACCAGGTAAGCAGCAGCCTTTGGGATGCTCCAAGGCCTCAATGTGAGCACCCAGCTGACACTCTCAGCTTTGAGAGCAGCTTCCAGCAGCCACACGGCAGCTCACACTGAGGCCAAACCTCACCAACAGAGGTGCTCTCACTTTCCTCCAGCTGGGCACCCTGCAGTGCGCGATTCTGCCCAGCCAGGTGCCTTCATCCACCTCCCCAGCACAGACTGAACAGAAAACCTCTGATCTAGGGTTAAAGAAAGCTTAAAGACAAGAACACAAAAGCAAAGGAAAAACGTGACTGTTTTGGCTAAAAAACCAGAATCTGTAACTGCAGCTAACTCCAGAGACAAATGTACTCTTTCACAGTCGTGTGTGTGTGTGCAGCACTCAAACTAAGTCACAGCTATGGGTGCAGAGGGAAAGCATCGGCACACAGGAGCTCCTCACGCGCTCCCCAGCACGCGAGGCTGCCCACAGAGATAAGCTAGGAGGTCTGTCCTCCTTGAGCACAAATGGAAATCTGGCAGAGCGGCTTCTAGTGCAGAGGGATTCTAAACTGACATAAATAATTCTAGTCTCGATTAAAAATAATATATTATTCTAGGTTGGTTTTTCTTTTAGTTTTCATGTAAAACCCCTATACTCTTGACATCTAGGAACAAAGACAAAATAAAAAACCCAGGCACTTGCCGTGCCTTCTCAAGCACTATTGTGGTGTTTAAGGGACACTGAGGAACTTAACAAATGAGATTAATGCCTACAGTGGAAAATGAGTGGAGCTTTTTATGCCGTCGGCTTCTTCAAGTCTCGGATTTGCTTGATCAGGTAGTTCTTCTCATCAGTGAACTGCTCGTCATCCGTCCTCTCTTTCTGGAAATTGCTCAGAAACTCGATGAGCTTGGGTTGGTTTTTCAACAGGATCTCCACAATGGGCTGCGTTTTGTTTGGACTGGCCACAAAAACCTGCATGCACACAAAGCAGGAACGGCAAGGAGAGAAGAGGGAGAGGAGCCGTCAGTCACAGCGCTGCCCCGGCCACAGCTCCCCAGCCATGCAGGCTGGCAGAGCAGCACTGCACACACCTTGTCACAGGGCACAGAGCTACAGACATGTTGGTTCAGTGCAACCTGGAGCAAAGCTGTGCCTGCGTGTGCTGTCATTTCCCCTCCGTTTTACTCTTTGTTGATAAAGTGCTTGATTGCAAACCCAGCTGTTGAGAGCGGGCTATCCTTCCTCAGCCTCCCCCACGTGCAAGTCTTACGACATTCGTTAATTATAAGTAGAATGGAAAAGCTCCGTGTCAGCTTTGATATCCTTTCCATACTAACCCAGGCCTAAAATTAGCCTTGCCAGCTTTGTTTTGGTTTGGAAGACACGTCAGAGGCTCTGCTTCCCCTGGCCTAATCCGATCCCAGCAGCGTGGAAATTTACAGCAGGCGGAGCAATGCTGTGGGTGCACCCAGCTCTGGTCTGCCTTCAGCGGGGCCGAGCAGGGAGGCGGGCCATCCTCAGGGAAATTCTTCACTCAGAGGCCCTGGCACAGCTGCCCAGAGAAGCTGTGGGTGTCCCACCCCTGGAGGCACTCAAGGCCAGGTTGGATGGGGCCCTGGGCAGCCTGAGCTGCTGGCTGGCACAGCCCATGGCAGGGGGTTGGGACTGCACGGGCTTTGAGGTCCCTTCCAACCCAGACTACTCAATGGCTCTGTGACAGGACACCCAGACACTCACCAGCACTGTGGGCTCTTGTCAAATAATCACTTGCTAAGGCTTAGCTGAGCTGCTCTCTCATTTTCCCCCTTGTAAAACCCATAGCTCTGAACATCACCCCTGCACTGATGCTTTCGCATTTTCTCCAGCAGACTGACAACAGGAACTCAAGGCCAGCAGTGCCAGGACCCAAGGAGGCCAAGGAGATGGGGGCTCAGCCAGCACGCCCCGCAGGAGCCCCCGAGGAGCTCCCATGTGGGCTGGTGCTGAGGTTGCCATGGCTGGTCAACAAAACAGTGCTGAGCATTTGTGCAATGACACAAATAACTTGAACTATTCGCTACCCAACGAGAAGAAATTAAGGATGGACAGAACTGGAAAACAGCCAGTTTCCCTTCGAGCTTGTTCAAACCAGAATAAAAACAAACATCTGCTGACAGCACGGAATGGCATTTTGTCCAGACCAGTGCAGGCATCACCACTGCTCAGCCCAGCTCACGGCTCCAGCAGGTTTCCTCTCCTGCCTTTTTGCCCACATGCAGACATGGGCCATTATGTCCTGCCACGTGGGAATTGCCTGCATGCAGTTGTGTTAAATGAGGTGCAATGCACACAGTGACCCGCGCGTGGCCAGGCTCTGGTCCCTCTGCAATGAACAGGGACATTTACAGCTTTATGCCACATACAGCTTCCCAACAGCCGCACCCACAGCCAGGACTCCCAGGGATCCCTTCGGGGCAGCCACCCCATGGTAACAGCAGTCCTGCATGGTGCTCCAGTCCTTCACAAAGCAACGTCTGGCCAGGGACACTTCTGTGTCCAAGAGGGCCAATGGTATCCTGGCATTAGAAATAGTGTGGCCAGCAGGAGCACAGAGTTAATCATCCTCCTGTACTCAGCTCTGGTGAGGCCAGAGGGAGTGGCTGAGGGAGCTGGAATTGTTTAGTCTGGAGAAGAGGAGGCTCAGGGGAGACCTCACTGCACTCTACAACTGCCTGAAGGAGTGCTGTGATGAGGAGAGGTTTGGCCTCTTCTCGCAGGCAACAAACAAGACCCGAGAAAATGGCCGCAAGTTGTACCAGAGGAGGTCTAGGTTAGACATAAGGAAGAACTTCTTCAGAGAGTGGTCAGGCACTGGAATGGCTGCCCAGGGAGGTGGTGGAGTCGCCGTTCCTGGCAGTGTTCAAGAGGCGTCTGGATGAGGAGCTGCAAGATTTGGTTTAGTGCTTGTGGTAGCAGTGGTGATGGGAGGATGGTTGGACTAGATGATCTTGTAGGTCCTTTCCAACCTTGTGATTCTATGATTCTGCCAGCCCCTGGGCATTTGCTTTGCAGCTACCCCACACATGACAGACTGTCGATAAAACACTGCTGGCTGCAACAGCTAGGGAGGTTCAGGTTGGAGATTAGGAAACATTTCTTCTCAGAAAGAGTGGCAATGCACTGGCACAGGCTGCCCAGGGAGGTGGTGGAGTCTCTGTCCCTGGAGGTGTTCAAGAACCATGAGGATGTGGCACTGAGGGACGTGGTTAGCAGGCATAGTGGGACAGGCTGATGAGATGTTCTTAGAGGACTTTCCCAACCTTAATGATTCTGTGATTCTGTGAACACAATATTCCTTCCCTTGCAAAGAATGTTGATATTTCTGCTATTGATCTGTTGCTTTCCCACAGTTTGAGAAATAAAGAGGCTGGAGATGTAAATCTGAAAGCACTTGGCTGTTACCCACCCTGTGCCTGAGGTTCCATAGTACAAATGCTCAGCTCTGGCTCAGCAACAGCAGCCCTGCACCCAACCCACACTGATGGAGGCCAGAAACATCCAGCACCTGGGCTGGGAGAAGCCCCAAGGCACCTGGACAGCTTCCTTTGAGAAAAGCAATGCACAAACCTGCAGGCAAGAGTGAGGAAAACAACCCAACAGGATGCTGCTGCAAGTTTCTCATTCTGGAGTTCAATTCCCACTCTATGACCATCAGATAGAACTTAGAGGTTTCAGTGGTAAACCAGCATTTCAAACTTGTTCAATAATGGGTATTACCAAAGTCAATAAGAACTTAGTTTAATAGAGGATGTCACATCCTGTTTCTCCCACTGCTCGATTACTTATGGATTATTGTTGTCTTCCCTTTGCAAAGCTGCCAGACTGAACCTTCACACACACCACTCTGACGGACCGTCCTGCTCAGTGTCAGTGGGGACTCACAAAAAGAGAAAGTTAGGCGACCAGAAAATTCCTGAGATGCCATTCAATGCCACAGCCAAGCAAAGAAAATCAATTCTGCAAATACTGACTAAGCAGCTTCACGCAGCCCAGGATTGGGACCCCTGTATGGCTCTGCTTGTAAATGGGCCCCCCATTCAGAGCTCTGCATTGTCATAAGGATGGAGATCAATCTCTGTAAACAGCAATCATTATGAATGCCTGCTGGAACATTTTCACTGAAATGAGGTTTCACTGAAGCTAGAACACTTCAGAGAAAGTTTCCTTCACCCATGGCTTTATTATAAGGGACTTCATTCTGACACATGAGAGACCTAAAACAAAGAGTATTCATATAAAAATTCCAACCCTAAAAATAGCCCTTTCAGCACAGTTCTGTTTAGTGAATATATTTAACAGGACTGGAATGAAAAATCAACTGAGAAAAACTTGCCTGAAGTGGAACTCTTACTCTCTTCTGCATGAGAAGTCATACACCAAAATCACTCAGAGAATCTACCCTCACTTCCTTAGGAGGAAGTTTTTCACACAGAGGGTGGTGATGCACTGGAACAGGTTGCCCAAGGAGGTTGTGGATGCCCCATCCCTGGAGGCATTCAAGGCCAGGCTGGATGTGGCTCTGGGCAGCCTGGTCTGGTGGTTGGTGACCCTGCACATAGCAGGGGGGTTGAAACTTGATGATCATTGTGGTCCTTTTCAACCCAGGCCATTCTATCACTGTAAGAACCAGCAGCCATCGCCACCCAGCAGAGACAAGAAGGACACACTGTCACACACCTGGCTTCAGGCTCAGACCCAGAGAACAGAGTCAGGACACCCCATTACGTGCCTGTGTGCAGAGCAGGCTGCAGCAGGCAGCACCGCATGCGCATGAAAGGGAATGGAGGAACGAAACCGAGGTCACAAAACACAGTGTACTCACTCTATTTTTAGATGTACACAGTAAAATATATCTTGCTATATGTCTGCTTGAGAACAAGGATTACATAATCCCAACTTGCTACTCCAGGGTGTTTCCCTGAAAATAACCTATTTGTTTGCATCAAGCCTTTATCTGTAAATGCACTGGGTAACACGGTGACCTGTACCACACTCGTGTACATCTGAAGCTGTGCTCTCCCCTTTCAGCAAGCAGGCAGAAGGCTCTGCTCACAGCTTCACAAATCCACCAAAGGAGCTGCAGAGCCTTCCCCACTATTTGCTCCTCAGAGTGTGAATGCTCAGGGCTGACACCTCTTCATGGGAGCAGCACAGAGAGCTGGTGCCTGCCAAAGCCCTCTGCCCCAGGGGACCCCACTGGGCTGTTTTCTGAGGGAGAAGGAAGAAGGTGGGGTGAGTTAGCCTTTCCTAAGGAGTCTATTTGATTGGAAGGCCACAGCCAGAGGTTTGTGGTCAACGTCTCTATGTCCAGGGGTCCATCCTGGAACTGGTACTCTGAAACATCTCTATCAGTAACAGAGACAGTGGGATTGAGTGCACCTTCAGCAAGTTTGCTGATGACACCAAGCTGTGTGGTGGAGTTGATATGACAGAAGGAAGGGATGCCATCCAGAGGGACCTGCACAGGCTTGAAAAGTGGAATTATGTGAATCTAATGAGGTTCAACACAGCCAAGTGCAAGGTGTGGTACGTGGGTCAGGGAAATCCCAGATTCCTGCAGACTGGAAGAACTGAGAGCAGCCCTTCCAAGGACTCAGGGGTCCTGGTGGACAAAAAGTTGAACATGAGCCAGTGGTGTGTGCTCGAAGCCCAGAAGGTCAACTGTATCCTGGGCTGCATCAAAAGAGGGGTGGCCAACAGGGAGAGGGAAGCGATTGTCCCCCTCTGCTCTTGTGAGGCCCCATCTGCGGTACTGCATCCAGATCTGGGGCCCCAAGCTCAAGAAAGATATGGAGCTGTTGGAGTGGGTCCAGAAGAGGGCCACAAAGATGATCAGAGGGCTGGAGCACCTCTCCTGTGAAGAAAGGTTGAGGGAGTTGGACTTGTTGAGGCAGGAGAAGAGAAGGCTCTGGGAAAACCTCATTGTACCCTTCGGGTACTTGAAGGGAGTGTATGAACAGGAAGATAATCAACTTTTTACACAGGTAGTCAGTGATAGGACAAGTGTGGGAATGGTTTTAAAATAAGAGATATTTAGGTTAGATATCAAGGGGAAGTTCTTCCCTGAAAGGGCTGTGAAACCCTGGCACAGATGCCCAGAGAAGCTGTGGGTGCTCCATCCCTGGAGGCACTCAAGGCCAGGCTGGATGAGGCCCTGGGCAGCCTGAGCTGCTGGGTGGCACTGCCATGGCAAGGGGTTGGAATTGGATGGGCTTTGGGATCCCTTTCAAACCAAGCCATTCTATGAGATACTGGCTAATCCCCCCCACACACACCCCATGGGACATCCAGCTTTATATAACCAGCAGCCTTCAGGGTGATACTACAAGGCAGAAGTTCCATTTTGCTCTGGCAATAGGAGGAAGAGGAAGAAGCTGGCAGGAAGATCAAGCATGTCCTGGGTGGAAAATGGAAGCAAGCACTGCAAGAAGATACTGTCTATCCTCAATTTCCCATTCAAAGCACCCCAGCTGAGTAGAATGTGCTTAGGTCAAAAAGAAGCACTGGTATTTTCAACACAACCTGCCAAGTATTTTTGCACTTGAGGTGCTCATCATTCCAGTCTCTCATAGAATTCTGAATCCCCAAACATTAGAAATTGCCTCATGGACTCACATCTCTTTTCTTTCTTTCTTTTTTTGGTTGGCTGCAGCATAGGAGAGTTAGAACCCGAATGCTTACAAAACAAGCACTTTTTCATTTCAAAGGTGTCTAACTGGTGAAACATCTACATCAGGAAATTTAAACCTAAATCTTTTGGCAGCTCAGTCAGGGCAGCAATACCCACTTTTCAGCAGACCTTTGATTTCAAATCACTGTGGGCATTATGGTGTAATTTCAACCAGGCTGTGGAGGTATTTTGTGAGCACAATCTAAAAATGCAGGCACAGTTTAAAATTTATGAGATTAAAAGCTAAGGACCAGAGTTTTCTCCCAATTACACTGGCACAGAATTATTACAGTTGATAAGAGATGTGGCTCAGGGACACTAACCCAGAAACAGTGAGCAGGGACACTGCAGAACAAGGCACAGGAACACAGCAGTGTTTTCCCATTCTCCTGAATACTTAAGGACTGCCCTTAGTAGTTCTCCAGCAATTCGAGTTCAATTTGAAAAGTGAAGTGAGAGGAAAATGCTCTTTGTCCTCTACAAAACTAATTCACAACAGAATTTTCTATAACATATTTTATACCTCTCCTGTCCACCTGGGAGAAGCTGAATGCAGATAAGCCAGCCCCTCCCAATCACAGAGCTTTGCCTCACCTCTAGAGTTACTCTGCTGTGCTGCTGCTGTGATAAACAAGCAATTTCCAGCTGATGGGGTTCTGCTCTGAGTCTGCAATTCCCACACAATGAACACTGAGCATACAAGATAGCACAAGGCACTGCTTTAATGCTTTTGATGGGTACTGCTGGAAAAACACAGCAACATCCCACAGAGGATAGTATCTGAGGACAGAGTTTGGTGCTTTGAACTGAAAAGACATAATGTCACCATCATGCACTGTTTATTTTGCTCAGCATGATGTCCACGGTGTAGCAACTGCAAGAGGTGGAGCAAAGCTGAGTCTACAATCCCTGCACTGTAATGGAAATGCAACATGAGCTGTGGGTGAAGGAGAAGGAAGAAATGGGAAGGCAGAATGGGAGCAACAGCAACGAGTGACACAGTTGCACACTGGAGTCATTTTGAATTATTCAAAATCCTTTCACATATTTCTCAAAATAGTAAATTCAGCTCTTCCCAAGGCCTAGGCCATGTCTATCATTAATTCAGGACCAGCATGTCCTGAATGTGTTTCATGTGTTTCATACATACAAATAAGGCATTTCTTCACAGAATGGCAAACAGAGCACAGTCCTCTGAACCTTTCCTTCACAGGCATCTCAAAGCTGCAAGTGTTTTGAGCCTGATTGCTCTCATATCCTGGAGCCACAAACCTCCTGGAACGGAGGAGAAGTTACTCATGGTGGTTCTGCTGACTATGGAGGAAGTCAGCAATGAAACAGCTTACCAAGCTTATTTCAAGGAGAAATTTTTTTTCTTTTTTAATTTTGCTCAAAACTTTTTTAAGGGGAGTGCAGGGAAATGAAAAGCTTTTTGGAGAAGCTGTACGTCCTTGAAAGATCCACAACGAAGATCTGAAAGCTTTTTGCCAAAGCAGAAATGGCAGAACTACAAAAGTCCACCTGTCACTGTGAATGCACAGGGGGTGAGGCAATCTTATCACAATAGCATGACTTCTGTCGTGATCTGGAACCTTTCCTAACCATTCTGAGGGAGGATATCCTCACAGTTCCCCTTTTTAAAAAATTATTAGCAACTCCATTCACACAGTTTGATATTATTGTGGCAGTACCAAAAGCAGCCTTGCACAGGAACAATTCAACTCACTCTCTGATCCAAAGCAGAGAACTTTTTTGAAAGGCAAACAGTAATCTTGTCACTATATAATATGAATCATTTCTGGAGAAGAGGGGCTCAGGGGAGACCTCACTGCTCTCTACAACTGCTTGAAGGGAGGGTCAGACTCTTCCCCTGCATAACTAGCAACAGAACTAGAGGGAATGGCCTGAAGTTGTGCCAGGGGAGATTTAATGAGGTGCTGGAATGGGCTGCACAGGGAAGTGGTTGAGTCATCAGCCCTGGAGGTGTTCAAGAAACATTTAGACGTTGTACTGAGGGGCATGGTATAACATGGAAGTACTGTTAGTAGGTGGATGGTTGGACTGGATGATCTGGGAGGTCTTTTCCAACCTTAGTAATTCTAAGATTCTATGATCATAAAGAAAAGAAAGACATTATTTGGGTCTGGTGATTATTTAAGAGTCTATTAATGATAAGTGCAGAAGAATGGAAAGATTGAACTCATTTCAAATGAGATTTATCAAATCTTTTTAATACTTATAAAAGCAAATTGCCTTCACACTGATGCACAATACTTGTACCATCTACTTTTGATCTTAACTAGGAGTTTTAAGATACTGTGGGGATTTGTTGTTGTTTTACATATGTTTACCCAGAATCACATGGTAAAATTACATAAGAGCTGGGGAAAGGACCCTGAATAATATCTAGAAGCAGTGTGTTTTGGTACCGTTACCATCCACTTCATCAGTGTGTGAGCAACAACCCTGAGCACAGTTTGAAATGATGCTGCATTAGATCTCACCTGAAGGAAGGCAAAACCTGACCTAGAGGGGGGCAATCCTGCCCTACTACATCTTTAAGGTACATTCCAACCCAAGTCATTCTACGACTATGAAAACAGAGGTTGCATGGTAGAGGTTTCCAAGGAAGATGTTCTCAGATGCTTGACATGACTGTAAACCTCAACCTTTCGCCTTATTTTTCCAGGCTTTCTCTTGGGCACCTTGAAAGACACTTTAATGAGCAGAAAAGAAAGTCTGCCACCTTTACAGCTCATGCTAGCTTACCTTGAACACATGGAATGCTTCAAATTGAATGTTAGGGCTTTTGTCTCGCAGCAAGTTCATCATCAGCTTTAGATTCTCTGGTTTGCTGATATATTTTGTCATGATGGCAAAGTTGTGTCTGTCTAGAATCAGTTCACCCAGCAGCTATAGAGACAGTTACAAAATAAAAGAGCATTTTTTCATTTAACATGTCGTTTCTGAATGGAAATAAAAGCAGCATACTTCAGTGTTTGCTTATATTAACTAGGCCTGTTAACATGTAGTGAGTTACTTAATGCCCATCTTCCAAACTTTATAGTAGGGGTTACCACATATGGACTGAATGTAATAGGAGCTGGTATGAGCCAGCTAGAAGAGAAGCAAGTATAATGCAACTGTCCCACAAGGACACCCTTCATTTCAATGAGATATTACAGGAACACACCTATGTGTTTCCATCTGCATTTCAGTGCTGCAGCAGCAATAGACAAACATGGACTATGATGTTACTCCCAAGTTCATTTTAACTCATGTGCTGAATTGAAGTACAAACTTGAGATCAGAGAAAAAACAATGGTGCTTATTTCCAGTCCAATGCTTCACCACAGATTCAGAAAATGAAATTCACAATAAGCTCTTGTGCACTGTATGAAGAGCATCCTCAAGGATTTCTTTTTTTGGTTGTTGTTGTTAGAAAGGTCTTGCTTACTTCATTGCCATATAGGCATTTTGATATTTTGCATAACTTGGAATACAAATTTAGAAGGAAAGCAGTAGGAAATTATCCTTTACCTTCAAAGATTGTCTCTTTGTTACGTAATTCTCAGAATGAAGGAGCTTTTCATAATCTTCAAAGATCTAGACGAACAAGAAAACACAAATACATTCACAGTTCATGTCCTTCCTTCCTTCTACCCATTCCTTTCTCCCGGTTCTTCCCACAGCAGAGGAGCAGCAGAAATAGCAGCAGTGCCATCCTCTAACACTTCACTGCAATGCCAGGCCTGGCTCTTGCAGCCTTTTTTCTTTGTTTGCTATTACGTAATGAATTAATGTCCAGCAATACTCATCTGCCAAATACCACAGAAAGTGATACCACAGATGAACTGGGTGTAAGAGGAGGTGGTATGAGCCAGCTAGGACAGAATTCAGTCACTGCTTGCACAGCTTTCTTTTATGGGAGTGAATCTGTTGCTAAGACACATGGGTCCAGCACATTACACCTACTCACTCATATCATGGTTGTGACTTGCTCTGTGAATTAATAGGACATCCCAGTTTGGAGACAGTGCATCCCAAACTGGCACATGCCAAAAGCACTTCTGCAAGGTGTCACCTGCCTTCAACACTCCAACTCATTAAAGCAATTTGCAGATGAGGTTCATAAGGAGTAGGATGCACACTGGCTTTTGCAGCATTGGGTCAAAGGAATCTCATGGTCAAGAAGAGTGGCAGTAGCCATCAACCAAACAAACCAACCCACTTCTGTCTGAGAAAAATCCAAGTGGCCTGTATTTCTACCTCCAATTTTAAATGTTCAGTAAGGTCTGAATGGAAACTATTCCACAGTACTCCTTTAGAGAGTACTCAGAGAAAAGATTAGCAGATAACTAATTTTGTTCCAGTTGAGCTGCATTTATGACCCTGCAGTAATCAGCCTGATCTTTATTTAACCTTCTTGGTAACTCTAGAATGAAAGAAATAGCCTTCGTCCCTTTTCTTTTGGCAGTGAAATAAAGAATACCTAAGGTAACACAAGAACATAACCTGCAGTCTCATTCCTTTATCTGTATCAGACCAATTTGACTCCAGTGGAATTTTTCTGACCAACATTTGGTTCAAAACATAGACAAAAAGTCAAAGTGAAAAATGGCAACAAATCAAGGGATTAAATTACTTTGGATGGTAAGACAAATAATGACATCTTAGTCCCACCATTACGTGCATATTGCTTTCAGTCATGCAAAAACTTCTCCCAGTAACTCTTCTCCTCTGTCCCAAAATGACATCAGTACGATCCTATCAATTCTGGAATACCAAAAAATTGTTTTAAAACATGAATATCTATATTTTTTTCTACGCTCTACCCACTAACTTTGCAGTTCTGTTTACCTATGAGGAGATAGAATGCAGAAATGAATAAATCTTTTTTTTTAAGCTAAGAGCTCCCTTGAAATCTTGGCATCTGTCCCCTGTGTGTGTGAGCAGCTTGGGTACCTGTATTTTAAATGCCACATTTTGTAAATGCAATGTTTAGTTTGCAATCCTGTTCAACTATTTTATGTGGAGCATGAAATCCTCCACTGGTGAAAACAGGCTTCTTTCAGCTAAGCATGAAGAGATTTTAGGAAGTTCTCCTATCATTTGTACTCACCGTATCATAATTTTGGTCCATAAAGTCTGCTACCAACAACTTGTGCCTTGTTAACAAGTCCTGGAAAAGAACAGAGAAAGGCTACCTTGGAGAGTGTGCTTATTAAACTCTCTCTTTATTCTCAAATGCACTTTAATATTCTGAACACATCATCTTTTACAAGCTATCTCCAACATGATTTCCATAAACAAAGACCATTTTAAAACAATACTGCATGAAATTCAGTTGTTCTGTTTCTACTAGGACTGGAAGGAGAATTCAGTCAGTGCTAACAGAATCAACACAAAGCTATTCTAAAGATCTTTATATTCCTTCTTCCTCTCATCCTTTGTTTTTCGTGGTCATTGTGTATGGCACTTTCAATAAGCTGAGGTGAGGAGAAGAAGAAAAGCAAAACAACTCTTTATGGAGGGATCAGCTTTAGTTCCATAACCAACAGTTATCTCTATTCTGCCCCACAACAGGAAGAGTATGGTAAGTTTGATCAACTGCTATTGCTCATCTCCAAAAATGCAACAAGGCAGTCTTTAATTCAGCCACTGGATATATATATGATCTACTTAAAACCTAAAAGTTAGGCCCAGACCCACAGCAGCAATCCAGGTTCCCTCCACAGCCATTCTACCCCCAGAAAGGGCTCTCGGGTGGGTGGGATGAGTTCCTTCTGTGGCTGTTATATGCTTGGCAGTAGCAGAGGCCTTCAGACAGCTGAAGCTGAATCATCTCATTCTGAAAGGTGGAGAACTAATTCAAATTTAAATTCAAGCAGTCTCTTCCCCACAATGGGGATGTTGGTGCTCAGAGGCAAATGTTCAGCTCCAGAAGAAACTAAGTCTCTTTACTGGATGAATAGCTATCACTGAAGTGACCAGTTTGAGGCACTGAAGTTTAATTTTTATCTTATTTCCTTTTTAAAAGCTTAACAGTGACCACAATAAATGCCTGATGAAGTCCATTCGAGTATATGTTTTAGCTTGAAGAAAAGAAGGCTCTGGGAAGACCTCATTGTGGCCTTCCAATACTTGAAGGGAAGAATATAAACAGGAGGGGGAACGGCTGTTTATGAGGGTGGATAGTGATTGGACAAGAGGAAATGGCTTTAAACTGAGACAGAGGAGGTTCAGGTTAGATATCAGGAGGAAGTTTTTCACACAGAGGGTGGTGACACACTGGAACAGGTTGCCCAAGGAGGTTGTGGATGCCCCATCCCTGGAGGCATTCAAGGCCAGGCTGGATGTGGCTCTGGGCAGCCTGGTCTGCTGGTTGGTGACCCTGCACATAGCAGGGGGGTTGAAACAAGATGATCATTGTGGTCCTTTTCAACCCAGGCCATTCTATGATTCTATGTTTGTTTCAGTGAACCAGTTTCTGATATCTTTTTCATCAGCTTTTCCTTGATTTCCTTATCCAGTGACTGAAGCTGATGTAGATGCACCGCCCACATCCTCTGCAGCATAACAAACAAAAGCAACCCTTTGCATAATAATCCTTTAATTTATTTTTACCATCAATTACAAGAGGAAAACAAAGTGCTATAAAACCCAGTACATTATTTTTTATAAAATATTCCTCTGTTTAGCAAGATTGCAATGATACTAGCTTAAAAGGCTGAGCACAAGAAATGTGATTTGCAAGCTCTGCTGCAGGACTTATGAAGCAAGTACAACATTTTTCAATAGGGGGCACAAATGGAATATAATCCAAAATGAATGTCTCATAGGAAAACTCCAGGTAGTGTGGAGCAGCAGTATTCAAGCCAGCACTATTTCCACCTTCCCCATAACTGACTGTCTCTAAATACAAGCTGTTTTCCTCTGCATTTTGAGCAGCTCTACTTCCCCTCTGCCATGTACCTGGCTGAATTTCATTCAGAAGTACATCTCAACATCATTAAAAATTGCAATACTTTCCTATTATAAATAGCCCCAAACTTTAACTCACACTTAACTAAATCCTCTCTGGTGCACTGATTATTGAAGACTTTCAGCTCTCTATCAGACACCCTGGTTGCAACACTACAAAGCCAATGTGGGAAACAGAACTGAGAGCACTGAGCTCAGCAATCCACCCAATAAGTGATCATAGCACTGATTGTTATGCTATTAGAAATAAGATAGCCCCACATTTCATGATTCAACTGCTTCCACATCACTTCTTGCTGTTCCAGTTATTTAGAGTAATGGTCAAATAGAAGGTGAGATGAGCAGCTGGTTTATTTCCAGAATTGGGTATCTATCAGGTGCTAAAAGGTAATTTAAAACAAAATGCAGTTTACTGACTTGCTACAAGTATTTTAAGAGGTGATTTCTGACCTAACAACTGCCCTCATACTTCTCTTTCTAATGCACGTGAGGATGCAGAATCCTATTTTTAAACCCTGCTAAAAATACGCTCAGATCACAAGGGACAGAAATAAGTTTCACAGCTGCAGATCCATGAAGGATGACCAATCCCTCCTGCCTTGGAGGAATTGCAGCAATCTCTAGTCCCTGTCACAGCTTAACTGACCTGTGTCCACATCCCACCCCCCGCCTGGGGGGACACAACAACAGCACAACTTATTTAACAGCAGTATCTTCTCATTGTTTTAAGGGGTGGTTTGAACTGGTCATCCTGCTCAACTCATTACTTACGAACACAATGTTATTTCCACTGTGCAAATCTTCAACCTATTCCATCAGTTAGTGAAACTGAGGTCAGATCTCAGTATGTGGTAAATTGCCAAAATGACATTCCTTACAGATACTCTTAAGTTAGGTCTATCTAATCATGTTTCTAATTAGCTTTGAGAGGAAAGAATGAACAACTTGTTTCTATGACAGCAAAGAACCCAATGACAGGAAAAAAGTTACGTCTATATTTAGATGATTCTTTACCTGAAAAGAATTTTCTCTAGCTTAAGTTATTCAGAAATAAACCTATCTTCCCTGCATATTTTGCCCATAGGCACCAAATTGTGCTTAAAAACTGTATTAACTCTGTGCAGGAAAGATGATGGTCATATACAAATTCCACAAAATTTGGCAAGCTTCTCCCAGCTCCAATTTTAATACAAACACAGATTAGATATAGAACATAGCTCACATGGCCCCAGCATTCAGTGTGGCAGTGAAAGGCAAACCCTGCCTCCTGCTTTTGGTCCACTCCTGCTGCACTGAGGGCACCCACAGATTGTCCCCAGCAGCTTCACACTTGTCAGGAAGCCCCGGTGGGAAATGGCAGCTGGCCCTTGTTAGAGCTCCTTCACATTCCTGGGTACAATTAAGCTCTTTGTCACTTGCACATAAGAAGGTGGCAGTGTTTTAGTTGTGACTGGAAGAGCTCCATGAAGCCTGTCCTTTGATCTGCCTTTCCAAACTTTCAGCACAACCAGTGTCAAAAGACAGAAGTCCCTACACCACCACACAAACTAGGGCCACCAAGGCCTTCCTCCAGTGCATCCATGGTACTTTTACCTACTTGGCTCTTCTCAGTACAGTCCTTGCACTAACCCATGTGTCACAAATGTAATCATGCAAACATGTAAAAATAATTACCAGGGGCACAGCATTGGGCTAAACTCAACTCTCAAGCTCACAAAGGTCAGCAACAATTAGAGGGTTTCAAAAGTGAATTTTAAATGATTCCTTCTATTGGCTGTTTGTGGTCATGATGGGTAGCAGTTTTAATTTGGGGAAGGCTAGGGAAGGAAGAAAGGCTATGCATGACACGTGAACTGTATGTAATGCATGATTAATTTGAGTTTTAAATGGTTGCATTAAGGGCCTTGGGGCATCAAGATGAAGAACATCAGTGAAACATAAATCTGTGCAGACTTAATCACTGTAGTGAATCCTGTTACAAGCTCACCAAGGACTAATTATACTCCTTACTGAACAACGAAAAATCCATTCAGTTTAAAAGCAATACAGTAGTCAACTGTTGCTACTGATGGAATGCCATTTTTGACATGACACTAAGATACAGGTATCAAATAAATTACCTTGAATGTAGCAAAGGCATCAGATGCTATATCAAATGTTGACATTTCCACATACTTGAAAAAGTCTCTGAACTGTTCTGAAAAAAGTATGATTTTGGCCAATGGTTCATGTCGGATGCACTCCCTCAGCATAATTCCACAGCGTAAGGCAATACTTGGGGATTCATAGCTGGAGAATGAAAGGAAATAAAAAAGATCAAACACAGAAGAACAAAAATAAACAGGCAATTTTATAGCGCTAGGGAAACTTGTAGCATAGGATATGTATGTGCCAGAGTGGATACAGCACACACACAGTCTTTCCCAATGAGAGTACTGCGTCCAGCTTCAGGAGAGCAGCTCACAATGCAGTAGCATACACACAAATAAGATTCTCAGCACTCCCCATTACAAACCTCTCTTCACAAGCCAATGCACATTTCAGCATGAACATGCATTACACCTCCTCTCTGTGAAGAGACTGTAGAGTGCATAAGGTTTCATCAGAATTCCTTTACCCCCTTGGATTTATGAGAAAGCAAAGCCCATTCAATACAGTAATTTCCCTTCTCAGATGTAGTACTGAACTCCTCAGTTTATTAAAAAAAAAAAAAAAAACACACCACACCACCTCATGATGATCCATCAACTCCCACTCTTCTAGAGAGCATCACTCTAGAATATTAATGTCTAATAAGGAAGGTAGGAAGAGTTTCCAAAGACAGTATGATTAAGCTTTTGCAGCCCTGAAGACCTTTCCTGCAGTTTAGGAGGAATTCTGCTTAACTCCCTCCCTCCCACACACACACTACAGCAGAGGCTAAGGGTTTATTCAGGAGTTTGTGCCTCAAGTTACAATCCCACCATGGCACAGGCATCATCACAGAGAGGAGCTGGCACACTTCTCTTGGAAAGGGAGGCGGGGGGTTAGGGTGGAAATTCAGATAATCTCCTCTCTATATAAAGTCTTGATGTCCTTAACACTGAAATTAATCCAAAACAAAACTGCTAGAAACAATTTAGAAGAAAAAAAAAGAATGCAATTTAACAGTCAGGGAGGACTTAAAATGAACTTCTTCCAGAAATATTCAGTCATGTGAAAGTGATGAAGTCCAAGGGACAGAAAGCACACTCTGTTTCAATAAGCTGGTTATACTATATCAGAACTGTGTATTATCACACAGAGCTTATCAGCATCATTTTTCCTTTGCACAATTAATTCCTAGCGCTAGGCCAAAAGAAAAGAAAGAAAAAAAGGACAAAATGCCATCTGTGCTGTGAGTGAGTGGGCCCTCAAATTTACCACCAACATGCAATTTAAAAGAATTGTAGTGTTCTGAGAGCATACCAGAGCTGCATATTTCAACCTGATGTCAACAATAGTTAGCTTAATGAAAAATGAACTGCTATTCCAAAAAGGCAAATGAAACTTCCCACCCTCAAGTAGATGCAAAAGTCAAGCCCCTGCTTGTTTCCTTTTGGGGAGCATTTGCAACCCTGATCTTAAAACTCTTAGAGTGGTTACTACACACTACACCTCTCCTCTTACCCATTAGCAGGAATACTAATTTTCAAGCAGAAAGAGGCGGAGCTGCTCCTAGGAGTGCAGCCAGGAAAATATTTAATACTTGGCTAAGAAATATTATGGTTGGAATAAAAGCAAATTACATTGTTTCCAGCACAATAACTTTTTAAAACACGAGCATCAACAAAGTCATTCTTAGTCAAATGCTCCATTATCTAGAGCTGGGTTATGGACCTTTGACTGCTCACATAAGCGAGGGAAGTTGGGCTTGGCTCCTGGAATATGCCTGGAAGAAGTTTACAGGCTGCCTGGTCATAACTAGCATGTTATCTGCACCCATATTTCCATGCAAGCCACCAGCTAGGAATGATAGAGATGCTCTTCTAATGAGCAATTATGACTCTATGCAGTTCTCCTTTATTCAGTTGAACTTACAACCTGAAGAAATCCCCACGTACTGGCTACAGAGGGCAACCAGAAAAAGAAATAATGGACTCAGGATATTTCAGAACATTTACTGTGGAGGCTGAAAGAGGCCAGTCTAAGAGCAGAGATGCATTTTGGTGCAAAGGGAATTCTATTAGTGCAGAAGATGGTACAAGGTATGGATGCACAATGAAATAAATCACAAAGACATCAAGCCTGGAAGATGGAAGGTCAGGGCAGACAGCTCTATTCTTTTCTTCTTGCTAACTAACATAGCTTGAGCTTGTCCTTAGAAAAACTCAAGGGGAATTCTGCAACTCCAGACAGTACAGCAATATAACTTACCTTTTAACTTCACTGTGATATGAAGAGATCATCACAAGTCAGGGCAGTGACTGAATACTTTAGAAATTGCATGTGACATGATAGATATTCACAAAAGGTCTTATACATTTCTAACTTGTGAGAAACAACAAAAGCAAAGCCATGAACTTCAAGTCTGCTGTAGTCACTGTACTAAAAAGGGAAAATATTTTAACTTATAAAGGATCAAATTATTTTTGTGTTAATGCAATACTCTGACACCAAAGACTTGGGTCAAATTTGGCCTAAATATATCAGATACTCTATATACCAAACATTACATTCATCTGAAATTAAGTTATTTAAGTTCTAATTAAGTTCTTTACAGAGAGAGTGGTGAGGTGCTGGAACAGGCTGCCCAGAGAGGCTGTGGATGCCCCATCCCTGGAGGTGTTCAAGGCCAGGTTGGATGGGGCCCTGGGCAGCCTGGTCTGGTATTAAATGTGGAGATTGGTGGCCCTGCATGTGGCAGGGGGGTTGGAGATTCATGATCCTTGAGGTCTCTTCCAACCCTGGCCATTCTGTGATTCTGTGAAAATTCCTACTGATACACAAAGCCTGCTCATACAGAAGATGCTATTAGCACAAGTCCTCATACAGCGAAGTCATTTAACCTACCCCTCCCAAAAAATAGTAGTAAACTATGCACTCATGTTTTTCTGAAGCTGAAAATCTGGGAGGGAGTAGCCAAGAAATAAAGCGAGGGCTAAAAAGAAAGGTAGGAACAATTACCTCAAAGTGGTAGTGCCACTGGAGTATTAGGCAGGAAGTACTGGGAGGGAGCCCTGATTCAGGATCCTTCCCACTCAACAGAACTCACATTATGCAGTGAAAAAAGCAACCTTTTGTTGATACTCTTGTGAACTGACTGTCAGGGGGCAGAGGAAATTTTGCATCCAATATAAGCAAAACAATGACCAGCCTTCACAACAGTTCCAGGCTGTTTCTTCTACAGCCGTGGTTGAAATTTTTTTTTTTCTCTCCAAACAATGTCATATAACAAATTAAATGGTACAAGCAAGCCAAATCCACTTTCCTTTCTTTTAAGCAGATTTAATGTATTCCACTTAGCATGAAATAAACATGAAAACACACCCTCAAGTAACACTGTCAAATGGCAATGCCTCCCATTAAGTATTTGTTTCCCAGTCTCACCATTGCCTGCACGCAGTAAGGCACGCACAGGGGGTCCTGCCCTTGTTTTAGGCATGTATTTGCAGTGCCATTTTCACACAGCCCTGGCAGTGGACCTGTGTATGTTAGGTAAGGCATCATTACACAGCTACTTTTCAGCTATCACCAGTGATTGATCAGACCATCTTCTGAAAGAATCCAACACCACTTTCTAATGAAAAATCTGAGAAATGGCACTTCTGATACAGTGCAGTGCTGCAGAGAGATAGCCAAGATAACAAGAAGGAGCCAGAGACCCAAACTAACACAACACACTTCTGTACACATCTCTAAAAAGCACATAAATGCACCCACTGGCTCAGGTCACCCACAGTGGCGTGTCTGTCAGCAGCACATATGCATAACAAATTTTTTTTACCATCATTTTAATATTCTTGGTTGCTACAGATGCCAAAGAATATCTGGGACACAATCCAAAAATATTTTCTAACATGAAATAAAGCTGAGACATATGGTAGAGATGCACACATAACGTGCAAGAAGAAAATAAGTGAAAAAAAGAGGAGGAAATAAAAAAGACGAAGAGGGAAGAAAATGATTGCATCTCTACGAAATTGAAAACAGTTGTACAACATAACAATGACTGAGAGAATGATCATAGAGTCATCAAATCATAGAATGGCTTGGGTTGGAAGAGACCTCAAGGACCATCCAGCGCCCCTGCCACATGCAGGGCCACCAACCTCCACATTTAATACTAGACCAGGCTGCCAGGGCCCCATCCAATCTGGCCTTGAACACCTCTAGGAAAGGGGCATCCACAACCTCTCTGGGCAGCCTGTTCCAGCACCTCACCACTCTCTCTGTAAAGAACTTCCCCCTGACATCCAACCTAAATCTTCCCTCCTTCAAGTGAAAACCATTTCCCCTTGTCCTGCCATTATCTACCCTTGTCAAGAGTTGACTCCCCTCCTATTTATAGGCTCCCTTTAGGTACTAGAAGGACCATCACTGTGATCATCACACTCCCGAAATAAGCACTTTGAGGTTAATATAAATGTTGAATTTTAATGAGCAAATGAGACCAAACTCCATTAATTACTCCTTTTCAAAGATGCTGGTGCTCAGTAACACAAAACAAGTCAGAGTTTCAAAATTAAAGTGAAATCACAATTAATCACAATACTTGTATGAGCAAGATCTAGTTCAGAAGAGTGACCTGCCCTGCCTCCTCCCACCCTGCTGGGGAGAAAAGCAGCAGATCAGACCAGGACCTCTTGCTATCTCATCAAGTAGGAGTTTTGACACCACCTTCAATGACAGGTTCAGCTTCCCTTAAATCCCTGATAGAAATTAGTTCACTTGATTACATGTATTTTCCTGCTCAGCTGCATTGGGCTGTTGCCAGTTTTGAAGCAAATAGCCAGTTTAGAGGGCTCATGCTGCAGACATGCCTGTTTCCCCTGACTCCAGGAGAGGCCAGGCTCACTTGTTGAGGTCTGCCCTTGGCAGAGGGGGAAGCCAGCTGGAAGGGATTTTACCCTTGGGGCTGCATTCTCGTTATGCTCAAATCTTAGATATGGCTCAAGTATTTTCTTCATACTGATCGTGGAGCAAACAGTAAAAATGCCAATCTTAAGCCTCAAGAGCAAGAAAGATATTTTTGAAAAAAATCATTCTTCTAAGCACCATTAGCTTAAAAGGCCTGTAACAGTTTTTGTATGGCTATTACTAGCGCGCCAAGATAACTGCTACGAGAGCCTACATTGTTTCACAATGATCAGCTACTAAATGCACTTATTTCTGTATCAGTTCTTCAATCCACATCACATACATTCTCCTTTCCACAGAGGAAAATAAACAAAAATCTAAAGCCATAAGAAAACCACAGAAAACAGTAGACTGTAAGGGGAGGAAAAGCAAAGATTCTTGCTAAATGGGAGGCACTGTTGGTCACACAGAGGGGACAAAAACTTCCAGAGTTTTGGGCCCTTTGTGCATTCCTGAGCACAACTATAGCTGATGTCTTCTCCATGCTGCAGCCTACTCCTTCTCCTTGTCTGACTTACCTTGGGAACCACCACCTCATTACTCAGCACTTACGACCACAGAGGTTACAAGGAAAAAAAGATTTAATGCTGAAAGACGTGAAGTTAATTACTGAATTAATTTAAAGTTGACATTCGCATGTGGCTCCAAGCATTTGAGAAGCCTGCCCCACAGGCACAACTATTCTTTTTATGCATTTTTGCTTCTTTGTGTTCTACCCCATGGTGGTCCAGCATATGACTCCAGTTATTCACAGACACCAGTATAATTTCCTCCTGCAGTGCAAGACGGTCTAAATGAAATTCAGCAGTTGTCAACAATGCTAGTTTAGGACAAGAAGTGAAGTACATGTCACATGGTAAGCAATCACAAAAAAGAAGCACATAATTATTCCAACATGAAGTTTTAATGGCCGAATGAAATAATCCAGTCATTAAAAAGTAGACATTGATGCAGAAAGTAAGTAAATATGAAAAAAAAAAACAAAACAAGAAATCTAGAACAAAATCTGAAAATCCTTGTTAGAAAATAAAAAAGAAAGTGAGAAAGTAGATCAGCTGCAATGCCAGTATGTTCTAGGCAATGCTTTTTAACAGAAATTAAAGACAAATTAAAGCACCCACCCTTTCAGAAGCATGAATAGGATATGTGGATGGGCACTAATGTATTCCACAGTAGGGCTGCGTGTGCCAATTTGTCTTCTCAGGATGTTGTTAAATATCTGGGAAACATCCTTTTTACCCTGTTAAAGAAGAAAAACAATTCTTCAACTGTAGAAACATGAGCAAATAACCATTCATTATAATCTCTATTTAAAGTGGAAATTAAGTTTAAAATAAAAACAGGCTTGTCTCCTTCTGGGGCTCTCCACAGTCGCAACACATCACACTTGTTCTTTCTTCAGTGACAAGATTTCCTCCCTTGAGTGGCTCTTAAGATTACCCCCCCCACACACACACACACTTATACCTTTCTTTTCAATAAATGAAAATGTGTACCCTCCTTATTCTGTTGAGCAACTCCTTGGCTTTCTTATATAGAAACACTGAATTCCAAAAAAGGCAAACAACTTCCTGAGCCAAAAGTGCTTTTGCTGTGTGTACTATTGCTCCCCAGCCTCTAAATGTAAGTCATCAAGGTAGTACACTAAGTACAACAAAACATAGTCTAGATTTATAAAGCTAAATCTTCTCACTATCTGAATGTCATCTTCACAAGTACAAACACAGTTCTGAAAAAACAGGATTAAATTTAAAACTATACTTATTATTTCACCATGAGGAATGAAATAACTGTACTGATAAAAAGGCTGTGTCATACACATCTCAGCTTCAGCCACAACTAATAGGAGAAGGATCCTTAATTTTGTCCTGCTTTTCTCCTGTATCTAGGCCTACACACATCTGGACTGTCATCTTTTGTCTTTGAATACTTCTTGCACATAACTTTTCAGAAGATCCTTCCAAACTCTGTTTTATTCACCTACACAGTTTGCCAATCCATTGTAAGTAAGTCCTCTTCCTCCCCCACTGCTTTCTCCCATGGCTGCAAGAGACAAATCGATGGGAGAAACTAATAGAAGGGAGAGACTCCTGCACTAATGATCAGTAACCAAGGCATTGAGTAAACAGTGGGTCACTATGCACAGGGCAAGCCCAAGCAAAAGGTTACTTATAATCTCTACATGCTCATTGATCTTTTTGGAGAGGACAAACATTCCTTGGCGAATAAATTATTGAACATTTTAAGCCAAGGCGCAGACAGTTTCACACAGAGGGAAATTCCCTGGTTTCACCTCTACAAATAAATCATTGCTGAGTAACACAAAATATTCTTTCCTACTGGTTCCAACCCAGCTGGTTTGGAGACTCTGGGACTCAGGGAATTAAACAAGAGGATCAAATCAGACAAGGCCAGTCCATCTGCCTTTGTCTGTAGCACTTTCGACCCTTGGACACTCCTTCTGTTAAGCTAACTCTTTATAAAGATGCCACATTCTCCCCTCTCTTTACAACACTCATAATGTATGTCTGGAATCCCGTGATCCCCAGTGGCTTTAGCAGTTAATCCAAAATGAAAACAATTCAGAAAGAGAAGAGCCATTGAAAGAGGAGAGAGAAAAATGGCCAAAAAATAAGTGTTTCTCTCTGCTACACCAAATTCTATATTAGTTACTTAATATTAGGTGTACTGTTGCAGTACATCCAATAGCAGCATATTCTCCAGAGACCAGTGATCGTGAGAGAAGTTGGTCTCTCTGGATTCTTTTTAGAAAAATGGAGGCAGGGAGGAAACCAAGGCAGACTTCTCTCATCATCAGACAACCATAAAAATTGTAGGAATACTTCTGCAGTGCTTTTCACTTAGATCTGCAATTTGAGTTTGCCTTATAATGAAATACATATGACAACTGGAACACACGATAAGGCAGCAGAGAGAGAAGGCCAGAACAACAAAAAAAACAACCTCAAAAGATGCCATCATTTAAGTAACAAACTACATATATATATATATATACACATATATATGCACACATATATACACACAGTAATTTTGCTCCTATCTCAAGATAAAGTAAGGGAAAACTTCCAATGTGACCAGTCGCCTTTATGGATTTTATAGCTTGTGTACCTTTAGGCTTACATACAGTTAGAAACATCATTTTTTAAAATTGACTCTTCTGGAATGCACAACTGCCTCAGTTCTTCAAAGTTCAACAATGAAGCTCATGTTCCAAATTTTCAAAGATAGAGTCTGATCTTGATCTTACTCAAGCCCAACTTCAGTGATTCATTTCAGTATTATTAGCAATACTGTATATTGTTTCTTTAGTGACAGAAGCAATAAACCTCTATTTTCAGTAGATGCATGACAGAGATGCAAGGACGTGACAACATCCCCTAAGCATGTGTAGGCACCCCATACTTACTGCACTCACTGGCAGATGAAACACAAATGAAATCAGACTTCAGCAAAAGGCAGAGCACAAACTAAGTGGGAGTACTAACCCTGATCTGTCTCCTCTGAATAGCCATTGAGGTTCATGAAGTCTTCAAAGATTTCAAAGATAAGTACAAGTACACCAAAATTAAGCCCAAACTGACCAGTAGGTTCAACAATTTCGGAGACAGTGTGGGGTAGTGAGGAAGAGAAAGGGAATCAAGACAAAATGAAGTAATTTATATAAAGATTATCTCCTTCAGAAATCAGATTTTCAAGTAATTTATTACTTTGATTTCTACCATAACATACAGAGCAGAAAGCTAATTTGCATTTTCATAAGTGATGAAACTGACTGCTTAAGAAAGAAACCTAAATGACAACTATGAACAGAAATATAAGAAAATGCAGGCAGAAAAGTTGAAAAAATAAAGAAGTGTATGGGGATATGAAGACAAAGCAGTATATCGCCTCACAGCCTTCTTTTTCAAAATCATTTCATTTCTATTGATTTCTGAAGAATATTTTAATAGTTCTACTATGTGATCGAAAAAGCTTTATCATTTACAATAAAGCTTAGAATTGTTTGTAATAACATCAATTCAACAACACATTTGATATTTCATTCATTGCTTGCATTTAAAGGTTGTGGATTCAGTATCACAAAATCAATCACAGAATGGCTTGGGTTGGAAGGGACCTCAAAGCCCAGCCAAGTCCAATCCCTGTAGTGGGCAATGCCACCGAGCAGCTCAGGCTGCCCAGGGCCCCATCCAACCTGGCCTTGAGCACCTCCAGGGATGGGGCATCCACAGCTTCTCTGGGCAACTGTGTCAGGGCATTGCTGCTCTCTGAGTAAAGAATTTCTGCCTAACATTGAACCTAAATCCCACCACTTTTAGTTTAAAGCCATTCCTCCTTATCACTATCTGCCTGTGTAAAAATCAATCTCCCTCCTGTTTATAAGCTCCCTTTTAAGTACTGGAAGGAAACATGCTGACAGAATTTTTTGTCTTAACAAAAGCAATACAGACTGTCAAGAAACTGAAAAATCCAGTGATTTCCCTTCAGCAGTGTACTTGCTAACACTCTCTCTTTTATTTTTCTTTAAAAAAGCATATAAATATAAAACACATGTGATTTTAGGGTAATGGTTTTATGTGATTTTTTTTTTTTTTTTTTTTTTTTTGTACTTAAGACATTTAATAGTTACCAGGGGGAGATGACAACTGAAAAGATCTGAAGAAATTCTAGCATTAAAGTCTCCTGAACTCAAGATGTGAAGAGTGAGAGAACTCCAGTAACAAGAACGTTTTCAAAAACTAATAGAAAATCTATCAGTCCCTTGAGTACTGGCTTTACTGGGGTCAGGAAGAAGTGGGAGCAAAAGCAAACATAAATTCCACTGTCCCTTCTTTTCATTCATTTTCAAAATGGAAAGAAAAGTAAAGAAACAACCCATGGCTTCAGTAATGAGAAAAATCTCCCACAAGAAAGAAGATCCCACGAAAGGTGACTTGGAGAGCATCAGGCAGTTTCTCCAGGGAGCTAACATTTAAATTCAGCAGCCACTCCACCCTGCACATTGGGTACTGGCTTCAGGCCTAAACTGAAGAGGTTTGATTCCTAGGAACCAGGGCTATCAATCCTGGGAAATACTCAGTCAATTCTAATGATTCTTCAGTGCCAGAGAACAACAGAAGCTACAAGACTAATAACAGAAGCCCCTGGAGAACTGTATCCCAGCTGGCCTTAGACCACAGCAATACTGTAATGTCCTGTCAGTTATGAAGCTTCTTCCCAGTTCCCACCAGCTAAAGCTCAATTTAAAAGAGTTTATATTTATTCTGAATTGCAGTCATCTGTTTTACCAAAACTCTTTCTCCTTAATTATATGGAAGTGCAGTTAATTTAGTTCTAAGTCCTTGACTTCAGAAACAAAGCTGGCAGTGAGTTCAATGGGCTATATAATCAAATAATACTTCTTTATATTAACCTTTCTGCTGGAAAGAGAACTGCATTCATTTCTTCTTTAATCCAAAAAATTAAGTGGGAGCAATCCCATTTGCTTTGCCACCTGCTGCCAGTTTTTAACACCTTTTTCAACACCTTACCTCTCAACTAAACCATCCTAATTTTTGCAGGTTTTTTTTTTTTAATAAGAGATTGTCCCATGCTTATAATTATTTTCATTCCTCATCACTGTATCCCTTCTAAATCAGATACATACTTCAGAGGTAGTGGTGGTTTGGGTTGCAGTGTCCCAAAGAGGTTAAACACTGTCAAGGCCATAAACACTATTGTCAGCATCATTTCCTATCTTGTTTGGATGCACATTACAACATTTCTTGTGTTTAAGAAAATAAAGAAGTTAAATCAGATGTACTGCACTTCCAGTATACAAGCACATCTGCCACTATACTGACTAAACTACTACAGTTACCTTCTTCAGCACATGAAAAATGGTGCAAATATGAGTCAAGTGCAATAACATTAATATGTAGACATATACAGTTTTTATGACAGACAACACTGACATCAGGGAGATAAAAAGGTCTATGTACACTGACTTACCTCAAAATCTATGAGCTGCAGGTTGGCAATAAGTGTCACTAGAAGGCCACTGTTGTACAATTCTTGTGCCAGCTGAGCCACTACTTCTGTCGGTGGTTCCTTGTCTGTGGTCCCACACAGAATTTCCTTCATTGCTTGCAGAGATTTTGACACTTCCTCTGACGCCTGTTGACCAACAAATAAGGTTAAAATGAGATGCGAGTTATAATGTCCATGGTTCACAGGCAAACACCCATTTTTCACAGTGAGGTAGCTCTGCCCTCACACCCTCCACCTTTCCATCCTGGATACATGAAGACTCTTTGCAGTAAAGGCCTTATTTGTGTGTGTTTGCTTTAAATCCTACCTGCTCTAGCCATTGGGCCGTGCAGGCAGCAGCTCTTTCTGGGTCAGGGTATATTTAATACACTCACATCCAGCAGATAGAGCACATATAAGGCTGGCTGGATTTTTTTGTCCAGGCATGAGAAGCAAGTAAAGGAGAGGGCTGAAAGCAGAGATAGTGAAGGTTTCTGAAACTAGGACAGTATTTTACATCTATGCTGCAGAACACTTATTTGAAATGAGTGTTTCATTAGTTTAACAGGAAAAAAAAAAAAAATACATGAAGGCGCACACACAAAAAAACCTCACAGTCATTTGTAAAAGCCAACATTAATGGATGTTCGAATCCAGATCGATAATTTCAATACGTCTCTCGCATAAACCGAAAGGGAAAATGTCACGCTTCCAAATGTCACCACATCAATCCACGTAACATAACCCCACAGTGCTCAGGAGAGACCTCTCTCCAGTGCTGCTGATCACCCAACACTTCAATACTGATTTTATTCACATTAGTACAAACCAAGAAAAAGCCACCTTCACATCACATCAACCTGGATCATTCAAGCATCCATTTTGCACAGCATAAAGGTATGTTCTCTCCCAGTCCATTCGTAGCTATTCACAGTTTTCTGCTAGTTTAGACAAGCCAGCATGAGTGGCATGTAAATTAGTATGACTGTGATAACTTTAACCACAGCAGAAGTCTTTTTGTTCCTTATTGCAGCACAGTAAAAGAGCCTATTTTTATCTCAAATGTTAGTGGTATCTCACTAGAGATATCCCACAGAGTACAGATGGGATTAACAACAGGGGTGCTATCTTGTAAACTAAAGCTCTAAATCTTTATGAGAGCTGTGCAAATATTTTCATATCAAAGGAAAACTCATACGTTTTTGGCTTTTCACCAGCTCTGCTTGGAAGGGTGTGAATATCTCTGGCATTCTAGGGTTAGAAAAATTAATACCTTTCCTTTAAAGTATGAGTCTTTCCTAATCCACAGAAAACTGCCTGCAAGACTCAGCTTTACATTTATTCTCAAAAAAGAGGGCAAAAAGTAAAGTGTTGAAGGAGAAAGCAAAGACAGAACATTGTAATGGTGATGGGCACAATGGCTCCCACAGCTGTATTTCTCTAACATATCAGCTTTCCCACCCTCTCTCTTTGCTTTTATACATACAATTTAAATTTTGTGTTTGACTTCCTTCCTCTACATCCTCCAGATATTCAGTGGTTTGACATTAAACCCTCTAACAAAAGTTATTCCTGGTCAAATGTAAGGGCCACTCTTCTACTTCTAACCCTTATCATGAATCTGTAGGAAAAACATAATCCCAAACAGATCTGTGAGTTAACAGCCACTTCTAGTCTCTTCTTTGACATTTCTGCTTAATCTTATGGCATTTTTAGAATAATATCCTGTGTCTGTGATGGAAACGCGCATAAGATTCAGCAGGAAAGGTCATTTCAAGATCCAAAGATCCAAGATTTGTCCAAAACAAACAGCAAAGCCAGACATATTCACTCGATACATGGAAAATAAAAGATAAAAGAAACATAGCTACAGAACTTTTCCTAAGAAGCCAGACCAACTTGAAATATAAGTCTTTGGATTAGTCTGCTAACCTTACTGGACTACCTTATGTACAATAGCCTTAGAGATGGAGAACTGGCAGAATAGATAAGATTGCATCACTTTTCTGACTTAAATTATAAATGTGTTCAACCTCCCTTATTTTATAAAGTTGTGATTTTGTCAGCACTAATCAAGAGTTTCAACAGTGAAAGCTAGAAACCTGATAGATAGGAGATTCTTGGTCTTAAGCTCGCTTTCCTGGTAGAACAAAATCTTGGCATTGCAACTTAATAGGATTGTAACACAAAGAAAGTAGTCCATAAAGAAATTATTTGCTGAAATTCTGTGTAAAAAAATCCTTCCTCTTCTTCTTCCTCAAGTCCTCAAGACTTTCTCTCTTTTCTCCAGCTTAATATAAACCTGAAGACCAGCTGACTTTGTTGCAGAGATTCACTCTTCATTTCATTATGGGTAACACTACTACACCTGTACTGAAATATTTCAGTATTTCACTATGAAGCATCTTGATCTTCCTACCCCACAGAGCAATTACTAGATTCTTCCATTTACCTCACTTTGCCAGGTCTAAATGACAATGTCTTTGTTTTATTGAGTCTTTTGGATTGATCCCTACAGGAGGGCCAAAGCGCATACCAATGTTCTTAGGATAGCAATTTAACAGGCTTAAAACAGCTGGGAATGGTGCCTAAGCAGTTACATTTTTTCTCTGTATTCCAGAGTTATACAAGACAGTGCAATAAGGAGTGTCTTGGTTTCTTCATTAAGGGATTACAAAGAAGTCCTAAAGGTCTTAAATTTTTTCTGTTCTTGTAAAATCTTCCAAACGTGGAAGGTTACAACACAAAGGTCTTATCTGTTCTTCATACAGAAAGCTGAACTTTCATTTCCATAACTATGTTATTTTGGATTTTCTATATCCAAACAGTAAGCTACCTTATTTGCAACGCTACTTGTGCATGATATAGCAAAACAAAGCAAATCTTCTGCTTCAGAAATAAACAATCCACAAAGGCAGTTTTTGAAAAATCCCATTGCAGATCACTATTTTAACTAGAGTCAGTAACTTCAACCACTTCAATTTCCAGACTTCCAGGCTTAATAAAAATTATCTCTAATTAGAAACCTTTCCTTCTTCTAGCTACTTAGATCAATTATATGTTTATCTTAAAAAGGCCATTTGTAACCCAGACCTGTTACATTTGTCTAAGTGGCAGACAGATGAATCTCCTGTTAAACAATGTAGATTCATTACATCTTTTTACTCTCCTTCAAGGAAGACTACAAAAACTTAAGGGGAAAAATGTATCAGGCCATGAATTAATTGACAGTCTGAGCTCCTCTACCTGAACTGCAACTTTCAAAGCTTTCAATGGCTTCTCTTGCCTCTGTGCTACCTCTGCTTTACAGACAGGTTGGAGATTTCATAGATACGTTCCAGGTCAGAATGGCTTATTCTTAACTTCTATTCATCCAGAGATTCAACATAACATTTATAACCAACTGTAATGGTAAGGAAAAAAAAAAAGATCCCATGAATTTTTTCTACCCTTCCAAACCCAGATAGTAAATATGCATAAGAAAAGTATGTCATTTGACATATGCATAGTGATCAGGAAATTCCCAATTGTCCACAAGAACATAGCAAATAGGATCTTAGAGCTTCTATTTGCCTACCTAGTGTATTTCCAGGGCAAAAACTGTTTTCCTAACCTGTTGCAGTCTTACACAGCAGCACACAGGAACATGAAAAGACACATGACAATGTGATACAAGATATTACCACGTGCTATTCAGTAAGCTTCCAGTGTTCCATGATGTAAATCAGAATCAAAAGCGTAAGGCACGTAGGTTTAGTTCTGTCTTCTTCACCTTACAGCTATGTTAAAAAATACTCTCAATGCATGTATCAAAATAGTTTTTCCTTAATAGTGCCAACAAAGCTCTCTCTAAATGCAACTCCTAAGAAGAGCCATTAGTAGAATCTGAATCCAGCATCCTAAGGAACATCCCAACTGACTTATTCTAAGTGCAATTTCATGCTAAAAGGAACAAATTGTGGACTTCAGCAGCATGTTTTGGATTGGGAAACAGAACTCTTAACATTTAGCCAAATATTATGACCTATTACCCAAGGAGGTTGGCAAGGATAATCTAGCAAAGCAGGCACAATAATGAAACTTCTAAAAGGCAGTACGATTACCTGAAAGAGATAGAGCTGCCCCACCTGGACATAAATTCCTTTCCCACTATTAATCCTGCACTCAAGACAGAAACAAAGATTGTAAGATGCTTAAAAATGGAAAAGCAACCAGGAGTGACAAGCTTCAAACACTTGGCACCAGCACCTGATAATATCTGGAGTTTCTCCCACCTCTAGAGCAATAACAGGTCTCAGCAGAACTGGGAGGCTGAAACAGGAAACTTTCCACAAAATCCCTGGGCATGTGAGTTTTGTGCAGTTGGAAGGAAGAGGTGCCAAACCCTTCTTATTTTATCCGCTTGGTTTCAGTGTATAGCAATGAAGTCAAAGGTAATTTTGCAACTGACTTTGGCAGCAGCAGAACTGAGTCCACAGGTATTAGCATTTGCAATAGTCACACAAGCATTCTTCCATGAAAATGCACATCCTGTCCTCCGCATGTACTTCATCTTACATAGAAGACCCCAGTTGCTCTAATAGCACAGGAGCAAGATGAATAGGACTTCACTGGTACTAAGCAAGAAAGCAAGATTCATTGTTTAAAAAAAAAAATTATGGAAATCCTAAAGACTTTTAATTGTAGCTTTATTAAAATGCTGCTCTCCTGACCCTTCTGAACAGCACCAAATGTGTTACAGCAGATCAAGATGGAACAGAGGTCCGATTACAGTGACCTACCTGAACAAGTAGCTTTGTTGGATATATGTAAGAGAAAGGGGAAGAAGATAGATGCTTTAAGTTATTTTACATCTAGCTTAAGTATATTTTGAACACCAGTTGAAGATGCTGCAGCCTGTGGTTCTGTCTGTCAGAAAAACACTCCAATGAAGCCCATATCGGCTCTGTCATGGTTTCAGGTTCCATGACAAACTTAAGGTTTGGACCAGGCTCTGCCAAAACCTGCAAATCTTTCAGCCCATCCAGGCCAAGCACAGAGACAGCTTAGGCTAAGCTGCACCCAACCCAACCTCCGTTTGGTATTTTCAATTAAAAGCACGGGGCACTCTGAAAACTTTTGTTGCACCATGGGTTCAGAAATGTTACCAAACCTGTAGGCTCCACAGATGGCACTGAGTCATGGGTGCCACACCTCAGCATGTTTGATTAGCAGTAGGAGGGTGATGATCTCAAGGATGTGCCTCAGGGACACATTGTGTGCATCCTGAACTGCTTTATGCTGACCAGACCCCGTGGCTTCAAGGAGACAGGATGTCACCTCCTTTCTTTGTGAGATGGGTCAGGCATCCGTTCCACCAATGTTATTTTACAATATCCATCTACAAAATACACAATGATATCACCGGTCATAAATGAACCAGTACAACAAGCACATCACATGCTGTGTTTCCTCAGGTTCAACGAATCTCCTGCCCGCTGTATTGCTCTTGGGGTTTCTCTTCCATTCTCCCCATTTATGCATATCCTCTGAGAGGTACAAAAGTCTGCACCAGAAAGCAGGAAGAGACTTCCTCTCCTACACTGTTAAAAATTTCCTTTTCTACTTAATTCCTGAATTAGTATTACTCATTAAATGCAAGCGTATTTTGGTTCTACACGACTGAGATTAACTTTTATAGAATTCTGAAATAAAATATAATTATTTGTTCCTCACCACAGAGCCCAAATATGATCCCAGCAACTGCACATGTCACAAGAACCCTCTTATTTATTGTGGATGTTGGAAAGGAGGAGGATGCTTGATAAGGAAGGCTTCAGTTCACTTCCCAGCTGACTTACTCTACTTAATCCTGTAATTCTTACATCTATTTTTCCAGTGCTGCAGTATCTTCTTTTAAGTAGACATTATTTCAAAAAAATGAGACAGAAAAAGAAGGTGTCAGAGCACTTCAGAAGAGAAACCACGTGTGGTAGCACTTCTCAACCTGTGCTCTACCAGCCTTCAGAACATAGCTTAGAAAATTGCAAGGCTTAAACCCACATGCACACAAACAAAAATAAAACACCCATAAAATAATAAGGAATTAGCATTCAATCTTAGTCTACTTTTCAGTTGGAAATGTTTAAAAAGCATTAAGGCAGCAATGCACCCATTAATGGGTTTATATATACTAGAAGATCTGGGTCAAATTCAATCCTTATCTAAGAAAGACAGATGTTAGTGCAGTCAATTTTTCAGTCAAAGCCTGAATGGGCCCCATTCTAAGACTAACAAGAAGTACTAAAAAAAAGTGAAAACTTCTGCATATCATGCATACATGGAATTATGTCTTAGAGAAGATGTATACTTGCCTTTATATTTGCAAGTGACTTCCCTTCATCCTATCTATCAAGCTGTATCTTCCCTCTTCCTGCCATTACTCAAATTATTCTTCACTGATTTGTTGTTAAAGTCCCACTACCTGAGTGCTGCTTAGCTTGAGAGGAATTATCATTTTTCCATTATTTAGAAGTAGTCTCTCTGAAGCTCAGATGGCTTCTGCTAAATGTTACAGGAGGCTGCATCCAAACTGTCAAACTTGCATTGCCCCAGCTGCCCGTTTGCATCTCATACCTAAGATTCTCAGCTCAGGAAAGGAAATGAGGAGGATCTCCCTCAGGTTTGCAGTTATTCAGGCTTTGTCACTCTTCTCTGCCAATTCTGAGTGTATTAGCAGCTTTTAGTTGTCTCAGCCCACATGCCACATTTGCTGTACTACAATGACAGCTAAACTGTCACAAGACAAACCTTGTTTAAGCATCTGAGGCAAGTTCTAGTTGGACCAGATTTCACGAGCACACAAAATCAGAGATGCTGTCAGGGGTGCTCTTACAAGTCCTGGGAACCTCAATTTTACAATAAGGTACAATAGTTGTCCAGTTCACATGACTCATAGTAAGGAGACAGAAATGTGAAAGAAATGGAAGAGTCCTGACCCCACAAACATCCACGCTTGCTGGCTCACAGAGTCCAAAACTCTTGGGCAGCTCAGGGAAATCAACGATCTGTGGCTCTTGAAGGGGACAGTCCTCTGGGCCCTTCCATGAAAGTATAGGACATTTTATCTCCCTTTGGAACACAAATCAGAGGTAAATTTCTATATCTTACAAGTCTCTGCAGAGTGCAATACTGTACTTTATCTTCCCTTGCTTTTTTCATTAAATTTCTATAATCACACTCACGAAAAAACAACACGTTATTCATTAGTACAGTCTGAGCAAATTTCAAAAACTTATGCATCAATGAAGGTGCCACCATTACCTCCTCTCCTTCAATTCAAAACACAACTAACATTCAGACACAAGTCTACTGAGCCCACAAAGCCTGTATATTTAATAAGAGACATGATGGTGACTGCTTTAGCAAGAATAATTCTCCTTACCCATTTTAAATTCATCACTGTCACAGGTACTGAAGATAATTCCATATGATTTACTCAGGACCATTAACCAGGCTTCTTTCTTTAGTAGGCAGGATGCATGGGGCCCTGGGCAACCTGACCTAGCATCAGATCTGGAGGTTGGTGGCCCTGCCTGTGGCAGGGGGTTGGAACTTGAAGATCCTTGGGGTCCCTTCCAACCCAAGCCATTCTATGATTCTATTTCAGAGCAGCACCATGCAACACTTCAGACGAATGGTAGCACTACTTATCTTCCCCTCCAAAGTGAGAAAGGCCCTTTGTGTTTCCTCTGCATCTGAGTGCAAGGTCCTGATTCAACAAGCCATGTAAGCATATGTGTAAATGCTGTCCAATACAGTACTGCTTTCTTGACTTTCTGCCTTGATGCTGAAGAGATTACTTTGTCCTCCTTCCGTCTCCTCCCCAGTAACTCTCATTAGCTCCATTTACAACAGCAACAGCCTCCATACAGAAATGATAAACTATGTCAGAGAGTACTACAATGTAGCCTCCTTCCCTGTTAACCTAAAGAAAAATGATGTGTGCACAGCATGGGGAGGAGACATGGAAAGCCTCCCATCCTGGCCACGTGCAGCCACGTGTAAAGGCACAACCAGGTGGTGAGGCACACAGGCTGAAAACAGCGTGGACTTGTGAATTAGGATAGTCCACATTAATATAATTCACAGAATTCACAGTTGATGAGAGTCTGCCAGATTAGGGCTTCTAGATTTTTTAAATGGCCTATCTGTATCCATTCAATCAAATGTAAAATAAGCCACCGTTGTTAGTAAACTCACAAGCTGTTTCCATCCTAATCCGCTGGGGAAAATCTTCCATATCTTTTGCTTTGCAAGGAAAACACACACCAGCTGTTAGGACTTCAATGAACAATTTACATTGAGTTCTTCAGTTTCTAAGAAGTCTGAATTTCTGCTACTTTGTCACTGACATCCAAATAAACAGAATAGCTCGGAGCCAAAAATCCTCAAAACCACAACCTGGAGGAATCATGCTGCAAAGTAAACAAACAAACAACAACAACAAAAAACAAGTCTAGAGGTTCTGCTTTGAATGCCTGCTTTAATCAGGTTCTGAAGGATGAAGTCAGGTGGGGAGCTGACTGACTTAAATAAATAAGTTTTAGTTCAGAGTCAAATTCTCTCAGTGCTTTACAGTTAACTGAAGATATTTCAGCTTGAGACATCAAATACCAGAGGCCTCGCTGAAATTCACGTGACTGATATTACGTAATTAGCATACTGAGCTACTTGCTTTGAACCAAAAAGTTTCCAGAGAATTTTGCTTGGATGCAACAGCAACTGTGCTTACCTTTTGGTTTAGTTCATTCTAATGCAAACTCCTGCTCAAAGTGGGAGAAGCACGATGTGCAAATATAATACTTAGCTGCACAAGAACTGTGTTAATTCTGTCACTCAGTTCTAACCTGAAATTAGGTTGTTGTTAATTAAAATCATTTTCTAGGTTGTTGTGTGACTTCTTAACTAGTTACTAGAAGAGCGGTGAAAGTAACTCAGGTCAGTGTCACAGAGTTAAAGGAGAACAATAATATTAGCAAAAGTCTAGCACTACAATTAGAATATGAAATAGCAGAGCATGTTTAGGAAACACACACCGAAGTTTAGAAAAGACTGACACACTGAGACTGCATAGGTATGTAAGTACAGACAGGTTTGATGCTTTATATGAATGACATTTATCAGAAGTAAGTTTTGCCCTCTGGGTAACTACGCATTAATTGGCAGTCTCATTTGTTACTCCCCAAGACCAATTAATAGCAGAATAGCTTCTAAATAGTCTTTTATGCTGTTTTGTTAGATCCATTCCTATTAAAAGTAGTAGATCAATCCTCATTTTGCATAAGGCTCCTGGGCCTCAACATTTTCTTTCTGACCCCCAGATAAGGCAGAAATTCTTTACTGTGAAGGTGGTGAGACACTGGAACAGGCTGCTCAGAGAGGCTGTGGATGCCCCCTCCCTGGAAGCATTCAAGGCCAGGCTGGATGGGGCTTTGAGCAACCTGGTCTGAAGGGAGGTGTCTCTGCCTATAGCAGGGGGTTGGAATTGGATGATCTTAAAAGGTCCCTTCCAACCCAAACCATTCTATGATTCTATTCTATGATTCTATCTGTTGTCCTTTACTTAGCAAAAGCTCAGTGATTTGAGTAGAGCTGTTCAAACATAAAGCTACTTACACGTGCAAGTGCTTGTGGAATCAGGGCAGTGAGTGAACACAATTTTACTCCCTTTATCCTGCTGTTTCCCCACCATTAAAACCTTATCGGTCTTCCACAACATTACCTCATACCTTGTCTGTTTTTTTTTCTTGTTTTTCCAATATGGCCATGTTTTCCTTCAGAATTTTCACAATCTCAGCAGGATTTTTGTGCGACTTACTAAACAAAGGCATGTTTTTTTTCTTCACCTGGATTTCTTCTTTCAGTGTAGAAGAGGACTGCCTAAATCAAATGAGAAAAAATTGTTTTTAAGGTCTCTACAAAAATGCAATAAAAATACAAAAGACATAATGAACAAGAGAAGGTTTATGCCTCAGGCACAGTATTCTACTTCAGCTAAGCACTAGAAATTCTCACATACTCTTGATTTCAAGTTCATCAGAAATTGAATAGCCTCTGTTAGTGTGTGGAAAGCAACAACTCAGCACCTGTACAGAAGCTAGATACTTCCTAAAGCTTGAAACATACACTTCAATGCCTCAGTTGCATCTGTATGCATATGTCAAACATTTTATCGACAATGAGTATCTTGCAGGTTCTACTAAATTGCTGATGTTGGTTTCATATAAATTTTACCAGTTCCACTGTGATGCAGAGTAACTAACTTTAAACTCCTGCATGCCAAAAGCATCCTGTGTTTAAAACAGTGCACAATAAAGACCCAGCTCATCAGCCATCACTTATCCTTTTTCAGCTGCTTTTCTTTTTCAGTCTATAGGGTCTTGACATGACTTAGGCTAACTCCTTGAGTCTGACAGACTTCAAGAATCCATCAGAACCTGTGGATCAGATCTCCCTCATGTAAAAACACTGTGAATTAAATCCAAAACAGAGTATTAGGCCTAAATGTGGACACAAATGTTTTCATGACATTTAAATGAAAGATCAAGCATTTCAGTGAAAATCAGTTTGCTTGTTTAATTTAAGACATTCCTTCTCTGTATGGCTGGAAAGGCAAATACCAAGTCACTGTATTTATACATGAAAAAAACCACGTAGCTTAGTTTGTGATCCTATAAACCATTAAGTTGCAAACTCCCATGGGTTTTACTGAGAGTCTGATACAAAGACCTACTGAAGTCAACAGAAAGACTACAGAAGGGAATGTACTCTTGTTAAGGCAAGTAACACCTTATAGGGAGAGTACAGCACCACTCTGCATCCCAGCTTGTACAACACAGAGAGGGGGGAAAAAAAGCAAAAATATTGAGTATTTTTCATCTCTTTCCACAACCATCATCACCAACCCTCCTCACACATATTTAACACATTAGCACAACACAAATATATAAACAAATCACTTCCACTTCCTTGTTCCTTTTCAACTCACACAATTTTTTTTTTTAAAAAAAAAGCTTTATACAAGATGTTTTAAAGGGGAGAATGAGAGCAATGTGTGATATAAAAATCATAATAGCACTGTGTCATGCTTTTCCTCCCACATTCCCAACCAACACCACTCATGTTTTGTTGTTACTGCTGAAAAACTTTAGAGTCCCCCAGGAAATATGGCATACATCTTGTAGCATACATCCCCATGCTAATAACTCCAAAACACCCTAACTAATGCCCAGATTACATATATATTGTATTATAAATATAAATAGCAATCACATAAGTTGCCAAGGACAAAATTCAAATGAGAGAGGAATATTTTAAAAAACCAAACTGAACCAAACCAAAAAAAAAAAAAAAGCAGTGATTCAGATTCTGTCCTAACATCTGTCCTAACATTTCAAAATATTTGCAGATTATCTTTACAAGAACAGTTCTTATGGCACAAACATTTAAACCAAAAGTTCCTTAATAATGTCAAGAGCAGATGAATTAGTAGATAACTTCTCACTTGTTGCTAGGTCAGTTTTACAGAAACATTTTCACGTTCAAGTTCTGAAAACTCTCCTTCAGATTTCCATTTACAAGCTCCTCATGATTTGGTTCAAATTAATTTTCATTTCTGCAGTTTTGGCTACATAACCTTCAATACTTGGCTGAGCCCTCAACGAAGGAGTCAAAATGAGCGCTCAGTGCTGCTCCCATGGAGCTCAAAACTGTGATTTTTGGCAGCATCCTCTGACTAGCAACAGAACAGAGTCACACCTCAACTTGCCAACGTGCAAGACTGAATACTGGGTATACTCATGACTAACTCATTTGGGAATGCTCAGCTATACACAAGCACTGGAAAAGGCTGGGCTCTCATCACTTAGCTTACTTCATCTTACAAGCAAAGGCAGTATTATACAACACATTTGTTTGAAAGCTGCTAGCAAGGACCAAGCATCCTGTAACTTCACACATTCTGCAATTAGCTTAGTACTTCAGAACACATAAAAGGGACCAGTTCTGCATATTTTTATTATTTGTAAAGACAAAGCATGAGATTGTGAAGGTGCTCACATTCGGTGAGCAAAACGTTAACTGGCAGGATGCATTTGAGAAAAAAATACCATCAAGGTGTGGTAGGGTTGCTCAGACTTACACAGACATTTTTTCATCTTCCCCTTTGAGAGGTCACTACGCAAGGAAAAGCAGAGGGGGAGATGATTTGATTTTTACACTGAAGCAGTCACGAGTTAAAAATTATGAGTCTTAAAAAATAAATCTACTTTTCCAAGTGACATACTGCTGTGAGCTACAAGTATGCCTCCTCCAAAGAAGTAACTTACATAGCTGTCTCGAGTATATTGTATGTAATTAATCATTAATTTTGCTACAGTCCAGTAACCCAGCTAGCACTTTTCCTCTGTACAGTTCGTCTTATCACTGAGACACCACAGCACTGCTGAGTGATAAGCAAGCATTTCTCTTCACTTCATACCCTACCACTGTTCTGATCATAATGGCAAAAAACTGCTGATAATGTGGCAGGAAGGGACTCAAGAGACTGTTTAGTTCATCCTCCTTCTGAGCAGAGACAAGTCTCTGTTTCACTTCATTTATCAGTCTTACATGCAAAGCAAAGCATCCACTGTACATGGAAGGAAATACGGAGAAAAAAAAAAAGGAATAATGGCCACTAAAAGAGTCCCAGATGTGCATCAAAGACCTCTCTTAGCCTTAGGAAATATTTTTTAACCCATAAGCATCTGGAAATAGATGATTCATCACCTAGATAACACTGGCAACTGCAAGTTACAGTTGCATTCAAGACCCTTTTGTTTTTCCCCATTGGAGTGTCCTAGGGGCATACATTATTCACAAATAAAGACAGAAGCAAGAGGTGGTAAATTCACTTTGCCAAGATTTTGAAGTTGTACCACTTAGTCCTGGCACTGACTATTCCATGGGGCACACTGCAAAACAAGACTCCCTTCCTTCAGATTTGTTTCTCCTGAGAGGATTCTCTAGCACCTAGAAGAGAATGAGCTCTGGTTAAGGCTGTATCCACAGAAGACACCATCAATACCAAAAAGGACTGGAATACCATTGCTGAGAAAACAGACAGCCTGTAGGATTGGAAAAATAAAAATGGAATAAAAAATAAAAATAGAAATATGTCAGACAACATATAACAGAATGACAGATGAATATCTGCTTCAAGATGTCTATCCTGAGAAGTGACAGCTACCTGGTCACTACATTCATATTTTACAGATGAGATAAAGACAAATACAAATTTGTGATGAATTAAAAAGTAATCTCCAGTAGAAATTCAAAGGCATTCATGCTTTTGTACAAAGTTTTGACAAAACCTCATGTGGAATACTGTACACAAGTGATCATCCAAGCCAAAGAAAACCCGAGTAAGCTTAGAAGAAAAATACAGGGAAGTCCAGTAAGTTATTTCTGCCAAATAATAATAATAATGTACTATTTGTACACAAGCAAATGGCTGCAAACTGCCAATGAACTAACTGAAGCTAAAAACGTATAGGTTCTAACCATTGGAGCTTTGAGATTTTGAAATAACTTACTTTAACAGGCACACTACAGAGCATCTGTTCATAAATTTTTGACACTGTTGTCTGGCAGCAAGGGACAGAGCTGAATGAGCCCCTTTCTTTCCTACTTTCTAGGAAAACATTTTCCATCTAATGGTTATTCAGCAGCATATGTTTTTATAACATCAAAAATGCATTGTAGTCATTTCTGAATTCCTAATAGGGGAAAGCCAACTTATAAAACATCAGTTGGGATGATGTTTCATTCAGTACTCTTGTGAGAAGCTTACAAGGTGAACGAAAGAAACATCTGTGTCTCACCAGCCTGACACTCAGAGCCTTTGAGAGCACCTCTCCCATTCACAGGGGAAAAGCCCTGGGAGCAACACATAAGGAATTATGGTTTCCAAAGTCCGCAGTTGCCATCAGTATAAACAGAAAATTACAGCCTTCAATGCTGGGGAGACCAATACTTTTTATGAACCTCACCTTTAAATAAATACTTTCAAGGAGTGCTTGTTTGTATGGGGGGTGGGGGGGGGGGAAGGGGGGAAATGTGTTGATTTTATTTTAGATAAAGTAACAGAAGCACCAAAACAGAACTTTAAAGCAACACTTTCTACACATCTATCTGTATCTGTTCAAGTCTGAAAAAAAACCAGAAGTATTTCACGTAGTCCAAAGCAGTAAATTGAATCCAGAGGCACATGAGGTTTACAAGAAGTGAGCTCTAAGGATATCCGGTAGCCTGACAGAGATAACATCCCTTTATACTCAGAACATGCCTTCCCTCGGAGGCCTCCAACTCTGCAAGTACTTAATTAAGATGGAAAACACTCTTCCAAAAAATGCTGGGTGAATACTGTTATTCCTCTCTCTCTGCAAAGGGAGAAGCTGAAGCACAGAACAATGAGAATGCTTACCCAAGTTCACATTAAAAAAAAAAAGAAAAAATAAGCGGCTGTGCCAGGAATGAAACCTAGATCATTTAACACTAAAGCCTATGCTTTTTTTTTTTTTTTTACCAGTCTTCAAAATCTCTCTTCTGCCAGTTTATCTGCTCACAAAGGGAATGCCACGGAAAATAAAATCAGTGCAACTTGAGCTCTTCAATACAGCTATGAGGCACACTACGAGATCTAGTTCTTTTTACAGGTACTCTCCCCAAGTTCTTTGCTCTTTATCACATACTTTCTTAAAAGCTTACAGCACAGCTGATCTTGTAAGAAAATGAAGCAAAAATGCAGACAGAACACCACTCTACTCATCAGCCAATCCCACTATAATGTGGCTCAGTTCAGTAGTTCAAAAACAAACACCTCCTGCCCACAAAGGCAAGAATGAGAGCATGTGATCCCATCAGTGCATTCTTCTCAGATGTTCCTCTGGACAAGCAATTTGCTATCCAACAATGAATGAGTGAATAATTTCCCTCCCCTCTAGTATCTCACATTACTCTTTTCTTACTTCCTAACCTTCATCTACTTATTTATCAGAATAAAAGCATTTCAGTAAGTTAGTATGAGTGAGAACCTTCTTCTTTGGAAATAAAGGCTTTCATTTTCCATTCACACCAGCGTGCCTTGAAGCCATATATTTTAGGCCTGAATTAGCACACTTGCTTGGTAATTTTGCCCAGTCAGTCTCTATATAATGAAAGAGATACTTTATTCTCCATTCACATCTCCCTCCAACAATATTTCAGAAGGTTGTTGCAATTAGAGTCAGGAATTCAAACCAGGAAACAGAAGACTTCTGATCACCTTGACAAGTCTGCACAGTCCTCTCATGTGATCCCTGCTACATTTGGCAGGCATAAGGAAACAGACCTACACAAGTAACTTCTCTTGAAAATCCTCAACAGGTCTTTTTTTGCAAAGTACATTGCAAGTCAGAGAATGGATTAAAAGATGAGAGGACAGTTATGAGGATAGGCTGAATGAATGCTATCTGCTTCCAACAAAATTATTCTAAAAACACAGACATTTATGGATAAGCCTTATTCTGTTGGTTACTTGTTGCATTTCCAGGCTTGAAAGTTCCTGCCTGGTACAAGGGTGAATGAAACTTTATCTGAAAAATACAAAACCTTGAAGTAATGCCATTCAGAGGGACCTCAACAGATTTGAAAGACGGGCGTGGGTGAACCTAATGAGGTTCAACACGGCAAAGTGCAGAGTTTTGCACTTTGGCCGGAGGAATCTCAGGTATCTATACAGACTGGAAGGAGCAGTCCTTGAGAGCAGCCCTGCAGAGAAGGACCTGGGGGTCCTGCTGGATGAAAAACTGAATGTGAGCCAGCAGTGTGCTCTTGCAGCTTGGAAAGCAAATGGTATCCTGGGCTCCATCAGAAGAGGGTGGTCAGCAGGGACAGAGAGGTGATTGTCCCCCTCTACTCTGCTCTTGTGAGTCCCCATCTGGAGTACTGTGTGCAGGTCTGGAGCCCCCAATACAAGAAAGACAGGGAGCTGTTGGAGAGGGTCCAGAGGAGAAGCACAAAGATGATCAGGGGGCTGGAGCACTCTCCTACAAAGACAGGCTGAGGGAGCTGGGCTTGTTCAGCCTGGAGAAAAGAAGGCTGCGGGGTGACCTCATTGCAGCCTTTCAGTACCTAAAAGGAGCCCACAGGAGGGGAATCAACTCTTTGAAAGGGTTGACAACAGCAGGACAAGGGGAAATGGTTTTAAGTGGAAGGAGGGGAGATTTAGGTTGGATGTCAGGGGGAAATTCTTTACAGAGAGAGTGGTGAGGTGCTGGAACAGGCTGCCCAGAGAGGCTGTGGATGCCCTGTTAATCCCTGGAGGTGTTCAAGGCCAGATTGGATGGGGCCCTGGCAGCCTGGTCTAGCATTAAATGGGGAGACTGATGGCCCTGCATGTGACAAGGGGGTTGGAGATTCATGATCCTTGAGCTCCCTTCCAGCCCTGGCCTGTGTTTCTGCAATGCTTACACTTCTGCCACAAACACCTTTTTTAACAGATGGTAAGCACTGTAAAGATCATAGAGCATAGCTAGACAGGTCTGCCCTTAATGTGCCTACTCCTACAGAATAATCATAAAATAATATTAATAGTATCATGTAGTTGTTCAATAATATGAAACTAAAGGTGCTCATGGCAATGCTCCACTGCAGCGTTGTGATGTAGCTCTACAGAAGCAATCAAATAAAGCAATAATTTCACTTTCAGTTGAATATTTGAATGCCCATTCAATAAAGAACAAAAAAAACCCACAATACAGTCTTTCAAAACTGAATGGCTGTCAGGTCATTGAGGCTGCAGTTTGGTAAGTCCTTTGTTCCATGACAGTGCCATGCTACTCCATGCCTACTCACAGCCCTACACTACCATCTATCCTGGACTGGTGTAGCTGTTTGCTGGGCCACATGGTAAGGAAACATGCCAGGGAACAAAGAACAGCCTGGTGTGAAAAAAAAAAAAAAGAAGTCAGAACAGGTTTCCAGTCACTTTCTCCACCGTCTTATAAGGACCTCAGCCAGGACAGGAAAGGAAAAAGGGGACAGGAGGGGTACAGGTGGACAGAGATGCTGAAGCAGCCACTGTAGCTGAGATTTTCATCAGCCAAACTTTTTGAGTTTTTGACTTTGCTGACTAGTATCCTTTTATTGCAGCAAGTTTTGTGCTAACAGATATATTACCATAAAATATTTATTATAAAATAATGCTTTTGCACACCAATGCCAGGTAACATTCAGGTTCTAAAACCACACAAAAACTGCATCCTGGGTTACCACACTCATACGTCCCTCAGCCATTCTTGTATCACACAGACTTTCCCACTCATGCTAACAGGATGATCAGAATTATCAGGTTATTGTTTTACACTGAATAAAAACTAGAAAGATAAGATACCAGTAAATTTTACAGCCACAATAACCAGCAGGATTAATTAGGTAACAATATTTGGGATCCCTTTTTTCATTAGTCAACATGAAGTCTTTCAAACCTAAAAAATTAAGAATTCAAGCCTGCGCCTAATACAACCTACAGCAAAAGTCCCACAAGCTCAGTTCTGCAGAAGGGAATCACTTAACCTATGTCTCTGAGGTACATACAATTCTAAGATAACAGCCCTTAACAGCTTTTCACTTACTTAGAAGGAAACCAGGTTAAATTTCCATTTCTAGTAATAATAGCTCTAGGAATAATGAAAACTGGTAATAACATAATTTAAATAACATAGGCAGCAACCAAGAGGGAACAGGACTTCCTCTCAATTCATCAGTGAGGAATATTAATGCTACTTTTCTTTTTGTTCAGTATTACTGAGTTACCCCTCTACACAGCATTAAGTCTTCAGCAAGCCTGATGTGCTACTTTAGTAGCTTCAGAATATATGAAAATAATTTACTGTAGCAGTAATTTCACTTTATTGCAGTAATTATTCCAAGACAAAGTATTTGTTCATAAAAATTTCCATTAAGCTCAATGGAAGTTCTGCCTCACTAAAAACCTCCCCACAAATAGCCCATTTCATGAAATTAGAATTTCAGGTTGACAGGACCTATTGGCTATAAATAGCAAGATGGCTGATTTACATATGCAGTTTCTTGTGACAATTCACACACATGCTCATCTTACATTCATCCCTAGCAGCTCCTGAGTTTCTTATGCAAGTGGCTGTGCTCTCATTCCTCTGCATCTCGGGAGCGAGTTCGCAGCTGCAGGCAGTCGGCAGAGAGGAGCAAGAGCAATGATATATTGCAGATATTTTATTTTTGGAAACCACACTGTAAATACACCCATTTCCAGAGATATTCCATGGACACAGAGGGTTTGGTCACCGAGCCAGTCCCTTATGTAACAGAAGGCGTATTGTTTAGGATTGCCTTCTTTTAAAAGCCACTCCTGGTAACACAGTTTACAAAGCTATAAAAAGCTAACGGAGTAACTATAGAGAATAAATAAATGAGCAGTTTATTAGGAAGACGCTAATTCTAACTAGAAAAAGAAAGTTCCGTCCAATTACTGAACTTCATGTAATTCGAAGGAGATGATGTCGGCCGGTACTTACTGCGTGCAGAAGGGTCCAGGCGTGCCTAGGCAGCACAGCGCAGCACCATGGCGAGGTGCTGAAGACAGCTCTCTGCCAGCATGGCCAGCCAGGGGGGCTTTCACTTATCTCCCATGTAATGTCAGCTTTTCCTTCTTGACACGTGGAGGGGAAAGCAGATTCCAGAATTCAGCCTCTCGCTCTCCTCCCGCGGAGCAACTGATACCCTCTGGAAAAGCGTGAGCAGCAATGAGTGCCTGAGCATGCACACACACACTCATGCACACACACACACACACACACACGCGCGCGCACTCAGAGCAGCTGTAAATTTCCACTCCCCTTTCCCTGCAGCCAGACTCTCTCGTGTGCCAGGGGCAGTTCTGCCTCGGCTCTGAGTAGCCCCGTGGCTGGCCGTGCAATGTTCCCACCGCCCTCCCCGCTTCCCACTCCCTCGCTCTCGCCTTTCTCATGGGCTCGCTCCCCCCTTTGCCTCCCTCCACGTCAGAGGATCGCGTGTAAAGCGAAAGAACACGGATGGAGCTCCGCTGAGAGAACCTCCTCGGGTTAAAGGAAGAGATGCAACAAATTTCACATCGTTGCTGTAAGTTTCCATTCCCCTCCCAAGTCTCCCGGTGCACGGGGGGCAGCTCTGACGGTCTTCGCCCCAATCACGTGGCAGCGGCTGCTGCAATTAAATTATTCACCTTGCTTTCCTGCTGAGAATGCAAATAAGGGCACCCAACAATGGTTTGTTTTGACAAGATAAAGATAAAACCAACACGCTAACGCATGACATCTTTCTGTAGGAGTCCTGCCCAGAGGAGTTGAAGTTACTGCTCTATCCTGCCAGGCTCTGTTTCTAACATGAAGATCAGAATCGTTTTTCTCAAAACACTGTGGGGAAAACAAAAAAAAATCTGCAGTATATTCTAAACAAAACTTCAATCTCACGGAGAAACACATTAGCTTAAAGCATCTTTACAAGGGCTAAAGTGACAGGGAAATAATAAAAAAAAACCTATGCAATTAAAATACTCTGCAATAGTCACTACCAGCTATTATCAAGCGTGCTAATAGAGCTGAATGCAATTAAGGGAATTTTTAATGCTGCGTTCCTCTTTCTCAGCAGCTACTCCCCAGCAAGTGCCACATACATCAGGGCAGCCTGAGCTAGTGGCTGGCAGCCCTGCCCATGGTACGAGGTTGGAACTGGCTGGGCTTTAAGGTCCCTTCCAACTCAAGCCATCCTATGGTTTTACATCCAGAGGGAGGTGTGAGTGGCTGTCTGAAGCTATATCAAGAGCAGGGGAAGGAAAAATCTTTACCAGGCACCACTAGCACTGTAGGATACTGAAATCCCTTCTCATACAGAGCTTGGCCAAGCCCTGGCATGGATGCGAACTGAGCGTGCATTTATGCCGAGAACAACAGCCTGGAGGGAGATTTTACCTCCTGGGAACCTCCTGTCTCCTGCTCCTTAGAACTAAGGCCAACTAAAGTTCCACATTATTCAAAATAATTCTGTATGTTACAGCATTTGCTTGAGGAAGCTACTCTCAGCCCTGCTGCACACCAGTGTTAGATGCGTTTAGGGCTCACCTCTGGTCGCTATTCACAGCCCTACGTTACAGACAACAACAAAACAGGTATGAAAAACATCTTGGAGAGATGCTTCGTAGGAGCACAGCCGAAATACTCACCTTTTAAAGGGCAAACATCTTTTGCTCACCATCCTAGTTCTTAAGCAAGGCAAAGAGAAGTAGTGAAAATCTCCTCTTCAAAGAGGAAAGGATCGGCAGCATGCCTGGCTTCAATCATTCTGCTATTTTAAGCATAGAGAGGCAGCAGTTCCTGCTCCCTGAACCTCACAGCATACTTCTGCATCTGCACAGGAGGCACTGAGCCATCTCCAGAGCAGCAGATTTGTGCTCCTATCTGTAGAGCGTGTTGTGATTTGCGCCTGTGCTTTACAAAACACATCATCAGAACATGGCATTCCTACGGTTTTGGATTGCCCTCAACAGTACTGGGAATGAGTTAGAGCTGCTCCTTCTGCACCCAAAAGTCCTGCAACAGGTGACACCAAGTGGCAATGCTTGTTCTCAACCAGTACTGTGAATTACTGGTGAAATATTTTCTTAAGTGGTATTGACTGTTTTTTTAATCTTGATATCACAGCATTTGAGTAAATGTCATAGATAGATTCAAATGGTGAGAACTCTGCCCTGGGGCTACTACTGAAGGTACTGGCTTTTCCTAAGAGCACACAAAAATATGAGCATGTTATATCATTAGTTTCCACTGTGCAGTTTTCTTTTTAAGAGATTTCTTTTTCTTCTTCTTCTTCCCTTTATCTGAATTCTCCCTAAGGAAATTACATTGTACGTATACTACATTCATCATTTCAACAAATAAAAAGATATACCTCTGTTACCCCTTGGAGCTCAGTGTTGGTGGGTACTATCCTGAAACTGCATGAATAATCACATGAAAATGTTATAGTTGCAGATTAAGGGACTCCACTGGATAAATGGTGTATCACAACGTTAACAAAAGTATTCACAGCACATTCTGGTTGAGTAATGCTCTGTAAGTATAAAAATATCTAGAAAACTATTACCTGTTTCAGACTATGTACATCTGTTTTCATGGTTCCAAGGAGTAAGTTGAATATGCACTCTGATGGGTTTCTACCTGAAGAAATACTTTTTGACTTTCCTAGGAGCTTTCTATGTGCAGGGAGACGAAGAAACTTGTCATGCCCCCATTCCTGTGTTGAGACAGTTCAAAGGAGTGCAGCTAGTGGGACAGATAGCAACTCTCTCTGCTTTTCCCATCTTTGTTTCATCATCAGTGCAGTTAATTCTCAGATGACAAGAAAAGGTCCTGCACCATCCTCAATAAATTTAGTCATAATTACTTAATGTTCTTACCTGTTCTCTTTTTTATTTTTTTGCCAAGAAGTTATTAAATATTTCATAAGAAATAATGTTTTCTTCAATTCATAATTTGTAGCCATCTCAAGTAGAAGGATGATGTAACTATGAATAGTCAACAATTCTTTAGTCTAAAAGTACACTGAAAAAAAAATGTCTGTGCACTGCTAAAGGATCCCAGCCTCCACATAATTAAATTCCATTATATTTGTTTCCTTTAAAGTGATGAGAGACCTCAGGCTAATACACTGTTAGAGAACTTTTGAGAAATGTTTGTCCTCGTTTTCTTAAATTATGCCATCTAAGACCAAAGAGGGAAGAAAACAAAAGGCATTCCATTATTCCTACCCTTTACTTTCTAAAATGGGAAAGAGAAATTAAGGAGCTTGAACTATGAGTGTGGTAGCAATAAATTACAGAGGCAGATGATAAACATGCAGTACATGTATATTAATTCTGCTCATTTAATCACCCACTTACAGTCTGTCTACCTCCTCCAAGATTACTTCCAGCATTCCAAAGCCCTAAGTAGCCTCAGATAACAACCAGAAAAATGTCTTTCCTTCTCCCAAAACTGCTCAGTGCCCTGGGCAATCAAAATTCAATTCTACACAGCAACAAGTTGTATAATACCAGATATCAAGAAGAGAAACCTTAAAATACTAAAAAGATTAAAAACTCCAAAACTAAAGGAACTCACCCGACAGGATTTCTTCCGACTCTTACAGAGCCCAGGAAATCAAAATTATGGCAGTTTATCAGGTATGGAGTGAGGGGACTAAAACAAATTACTTTCACTGTTTATCTGCCCTATGGAGACATCACACTTCAAGTCAAAGCACTTAGCTTTACAACAAAACAATACAAAAAGTATGTTCAGTGACATTTCTAACATCCCATAAAACAAGAGATTTTACAGTAACATTGTGCTTTTGTATTATAATACAAGCCTGCAGGTGCTCATTTTTCCCTAAACCCCCATAATGTGGCCATTCTACACTGATGCCACTGAAACTCTTCATCATCTACAGTTTATTTCCAGCACACACATACCTGCACTGAAAAAAACAACTTAACACGTGTGTACTCACTCAAACACAAAAGAAGGTAAAAAGGGGTATGACATGTGGAGAGATAGGTCTTTTTTCCTACACCCACCTAAAAGGCAGCCAAGCTTCTGGCCTCTCTCAGAACTAGAAAACTGAGATCTCTGAACTGAATGTGTGGGAGCAGAGAGCAGTGACCTGCAGTTGTGTTGTAGATGAAGGAAGCAGTAAGGATTAGATGGATGCTTCTGTGCAAGCTACTCCTAAAAATGCAAATATGTCTTCAATGCTTCTCCCTCTTCTTCCTCCAGGCTCCCTCTAGTGATCCTAGACACACACTGCCTTTTCTTCCTTAATGCCAGGAGATGCAATTACTGAAGGTTGGTATTTTTCTGTTCTGCTTCAGTTTTTAAAAACCAGCACTAACTCTTATAAACTGCTGTTAAGTTCCCCTGAATTTATTATTCCCAAGTTCTTCACACCAGCATCACACATCAACACTGACCTTTCTACTAGAAATTGGAAACATTTATGTATGAAATACTTCAGGTATCTAATTTTAAAGCCATCTACCAGCTCTGTCCTTTCAAGTAGATTAAAACAGCTACAGTGAAACCTCTTCCATACACATTCACCCTCCCAAGCCAAACAAGAATGTTTCTAAGTGGTTATACGACCAGCTGAAAAATGAAATACAGATTAAATGTTTATGCCTGCCCTAAAAAGTCACTTATAAAATGTTAATCACATTCCCTATCTACTGTGTCCCAACATAAAACATGATTAAGAATCATAACAGCACTCCTATTTTTATGAGTGGAGAACATTACCTTGAAGAACAGTGAACATTCTGACATGACAATGTCAAAAGTTTTACCTGTGGACTGAAACAAAATGTAGTCCTCCAAAAACCAGTAACTTCCTGACGGACTGAGCAGGTGCTTTTAATGTAATTACAGCCTTTACCTCTTCAAAGTGCTCCTATCCCAACTTGGTATATTCAACCAATTTCACAGCTTTTTTTTTTTTTTTTTTTTTTTTAATGGAAATAAATGTTTATTCTATTCATAGAAATGAAAATGTGAAAAGGAAAGTTCATTTCAGAAGGAACTAAAAAAGACCTTTGCTGAAGATCTAAA